ATTTATATTTGTGATGAGAATTCTGGGACTAGGATTAAAAGGCGCAGCTAAATTTTGTGGCTTGATGGACATGCCTGCTTTTTTAACGCAAAACACTTATGATTTGATTATTGACAACATTCACTCTTGTGTGAAAGTAGCAGCTGAAAAACTATTTGAAAAAGCCTGTACCGAGGAAAAAGAAGCGACTGCTGAAAACCAAGGTGATGAAAATAATGAAGAATTAACAGTTTCGGATGATGGAACCTGGAAGAAGCGAGGGTTCAATTCTTTGTATGGAGCGACATCATTGATTGGATATTACACTGGAAAAATCATTGATATAATTGTTAAAAGTTTATACTGTGAACCGTGTGAGGTTTGGAAACCTAAAAAAGGTACTGAAGAGTATAATGATTGGTATAATGAACACAAAGATGCTTGTTCTGCAAATCACCAGGGCTCTTCAGGTAAAATAGAAGTCGATGCGGTTATTGAAATATTTAAGCGTTCAATAGAATAATTCAAAGTTCGTTATAGAAACTATATAGGTGATGGCGATTCAAAAACATATTCTGCGATTCTGAAAGCTGCTCCTTACGGTGAAGTTGAAGTTGTCAAAAAAGAATGCATCGGTCATGTTCAAAAGAGAATGGGTTCACGACTCCGCGAGCTAGTAAACAAAAATATAGAAACAGTTGAAAAAGGGAAAGGTAAACTCACGGCTAAGGTAATAGATAAGCTGACAGTTTACTATGGTTTGGCAATAAGGAGAAATTGTGATTCTGTGGATAATATGCGTAATGCAATTTGGGGAACATATTATCACTATTGTTCGACTGATGAGAAGCCTCAACACGAAATGTGCCCAGGTGGAGAAGGTTCATGGTGTAGTTGGCAACAAGCGCTAGCAACAGACACATTATCTTCTTACACCCATGATTATCCAACTTTACCAGCTGATGTTGCTGAAACTATATATCCAATTTATGAAGACCTTAGCAACGTTAAATTATTGGAAAGGTGTGTTGGTGGATTTACACAAAACGATAATGAGAGTTATAATCAGTTAATATGGAAAATAACTCCAAAAATTGTTCCATGTGGCTCTAAAATTGTTGAAATAGCGGCTTACATTGCAGCTGGAATGGTTAATGAAGGTACAAAATCATTATTGTACTTTATGAGTGCATTAGGACTTTCATTAGGCACCGCAGCTCATGCTTATGTCGATAAAGAGGACGCAGAGCGCGTGATGATCTCCAACGCGAGAGCGCATGGGAGCACGCGAGAAGGAAGAATGGCTCGACGACAACACCAGCTGGACTTATTAGAAGCTACCGGTACTGCAGAAGGTCTCTCTTATGGCCCTGAAATAGATGATACCATGTAAGTTGAAGAAACAAAATTTTAATTATGTGTAAACTATTACTGAAAAATTTTGTTCAAATAGACGCCATTTTGTCACAAATCAAAATTTTTATTATTCCTTCGTTCAATACCTGCATTAATTTATCCTTTAAAAGAATCCACCATATTTTTTGATTTCAGATAATCCAAACCGCCGAAATAGAAATCACCGCCAAGCGCCTTTTTTTGGAGGTCGTTTGGGACATCATCTACAAGAGCGGTGCACATCAATATTTTTACATGATCGACGCGCTATTGTATTTTTAAAAGTAGGCTCTATTTGAATTATTCACAAGAGTGAATGTTATCAATAATCAAATTATAAATGTTTTGCGTTAAAAAAGCAGGCATGTCCATCAAGCCACAAAATTTAGCTGCGCCTTTTAATCCTAGTCCCAGAATTCTCATCACAAATATAAATCGTCTGTTTATTTCGTAAGAATGCTTCACAAAAGGACTGGAGTTTATAACACGATTTTCACACTTATCACACACTACAACGATTTTAAAACCAAGTCCACGTGGAGAAGCAGTTTCAAATTTTATTTTTCCGTCACAARAGTTACATTTCATATAATCACTTATCGCAGCAAATACAGTAATGAAATTTAAAATTCTATATTCAATCGAAGGATCACGTGAAACTAAAATCTCTTTCTGCATTTTGAATTTTTTAGCGGATGCACTAAAACTACTCTTATCYGTCTCAGCAGTCTTTGGATTAAAAGCCTGTTTTCTCTTTTTACCTTTAGAAATTTGAAATTTTTCGGTACTTCYACGTAATCTTGAACATTTACGGGGCATTTTTATAACTTTTGAATAAAATTTACTCCAATATAAAACAAAAAAATCACGAAAAACAAGTTTGAACTGACAGCACGACTTTACAACGTGGCAGAATTCTTTAGACTGACAAAATACTTTTATTTTAGGTTATAATAACTGAATGTGACCTTGAAGTACTTAGTGGACCTATTATACTCGCCTTCTACGATAAAACACAGTAGAAAAAGAAACCTCAGGTAGCGCGTGCAGTGAGTGCAGCTGCTATTCCGGTTCTTACTCTACCTGCTTTCTAACACTCTGATGTGGCCTTACAAATTCAGGTATATCTCCGAAAATATTTATCGGAATAGCTTCAAATTTTTAGAGAATATACTTAAATATATGTACATTTTGAAAATGCAAAAAAAAAATCGATTTTTTGAAAATTCTAACTGCGTGTAACCCTTTAAAAGAGAAGAATGCAACGCAGGTTGTGGTGATAAGAATTAATGATATTTATGATGAAACTTGAAATATATTTTATAATATTTTATAAATGATATTCTGAAATTATTTATTATTTCCTCATCTACCTATATTTGATCACAAAGTTTTAAGATCAACACGTATAAATATAGTAATAAATTCAGGTAAAAATTGAAAGGAAAGAATGATGACTTACTTAAAAATCAATGATTTTATTGTCTTCTTTTTAATAAAATTAAATGCAAATTTAGATAAAAATATGTAGTTTGAAATTAGATCAATATCATTATCACAAAGTAGGTTCTGGTCCAATACCTCCAGCGTGTCTATAAACAAGTAAAGATACTTCTATGGCCAATTTGTTGACATTAGATAAATTTTCACATTCTGCATACACACGTACTATATCCTCAGTACCGGAAGGTCTAACAATATATTATTCATATTATTATAACTAAAAATATTAGAACGAAAATATTTATTTGTAAATGTATAAAATACCTGATAAAACTTCTTCCTTTCGAATACTTAGCTGTGACTTTATCAATTTCATTTTGTAATCCTATGGGCGTAACGCACTGTCTTTCTGCATTAGTCGTTGTAATAATATTTCTGTCCTTAACTTTAACTTTCACTTGTTTATTTGGCAAATCTGTATAACATTGTTCCCAATCAATAATACTCCATCCTTTAGCATGTAAAATAGTTTCTATTAACAACATATCGCTTAAGGCATCACCAACGGTCTGATTAATTATATTTATTATATGTATTAATTTTTCAGCAGCAATACGTTCATTTTCTTTCAACCTATAACCATAATAAAATATCAGCACGATTGTATGCATATAAATTTATCATTTGAATAGATCTAATCTTACTTAAGATTTTCTGCAGCATTTGAAATAGATTGAATAGCTGTTTCCTTAAAAAGAACGGTACCATGACCATTCGCTTCAAAATAAACACCAATATCAAATTCTGTTGCTTTATTATGCAAATGTTTTACACCTGTTGAAACGCATGCAACTGGAACTTTCTAAACATAATTTAGGGGAATTAAATATTTCATTTAAAGATTACTTTAACAAAAAAAAAAAAAAGATAAATAAATATATACCAATTTCTGCGAAATATAATTAGTTGAACTTGCATTAGCATATGCAGTTTGAACTAGGCCAAGATTTAATTGCAAAGAACTTTCTTGAAGAAGTTCCTTAATGTAGCCTGCTACAAGTGTAGCTATACGATCTCCATCGAGAATATGAAATTTCTTTGCTTCATCTATATAGAAATAAATTATTCTATCCGCATCTCCATCTATAGAAGCACATTTAACATTTGCTTCAAGTTGCATATTAATTGGTACTTTTTGATGTATTTTAACATAATCAGCTCCACACTAATAAGAAGAAAAATACATATTCTCTTATTTTAAATTAATTGCTAATAATATAATTTTTAAACAAGTTATATATACCATGTAATTTAGTTCTCCATTTCCATCATTATAAATATTGACTTTTAGAACAGAATCTAGATGTTTCTGAAATTCTTTCATAGCAAGAGCACCAACACCATTTGCTGCATCCAAATGTAATTCTGCTACATATTTATCATTATTAAGTACATTTTTATATTCCCTCATACGTTTGTAAGCCTTGGAAAATTTATTATAATAGCCTTCTAATGTCGATTCTCCATATTTGCTATTTGTATTTGTACAAAAAACAAGATAATGTAACTGAGGTGTGGTAACTATTCCAAAATCTTTTACGACACCATTCAAGGCTTTAATACCTGCCACTGCAGCATCTAATAAACTAGGACCACTTTGTCTTGTATCTCTGCCTGTTATTACTATTGCATTTGCAGACATATTAATTTTTTCTTCATTTATAATACGTTTAATAATAGTTATAACATCGGTGTCATTTGCATTAGCTAAATCATTAGCTATTGTTTCCCAAGATGCTTTCAACATTTCCCCATTAGGATCAACCAATTTAACACCATTATCTGATTCTACATTATGACTAGCCGTTATCATCAATCCAATTGCAGCTATAATATAAAAGACCTTTTATTTTATATCCAATTGAAGGCTTTGATGAGATTTTAATGACTTCATTTAGGATAATGATATGACAAATGAAAAGAAAAAAAACGTATTAAATCTTACCATTACATTTCTTTGATCTAAGTACAGCTAAAAGGCCCATTCGATAAAGAACATGTTCTAAGAACTCTGCTCTGAAATAATATTGTAAAGTAAAATAATAATGTAATATACATCTCAAATTTAAATAATGTACAAAATATACTTACTTAGTTCGAAAGCCAGAAGTTCCATATTGTATAGGCTCATTATATTGTTTACTATATTTTGAACTTTCTATATTTTGTATATATTGAAAGTCCATGATGTTTTAATATGTACGAAATACTAAAAAAATATTTCTTTATTAACACATATATTTCTTTAATAACAATTAATTTTAATAGATCAATTAAAGATAAGATAAAATATATACGTATATCTCTATATAAACATAATAAAAACAGATTAGAACTATTTAAATTACTTACCACACCTGTTAGCGACAACGATTCGTGGATAAATGATATATATCGAAGTTTCCTATTTGCCACGTACCGATTAACTCGAAGCGCCATCTGCAATTGTGAATACTATATTTAATTAATTATTTAATTAAATCAGACATATATACTAATATGTTTTCAAATGTCAATATTTAAATAAAAAATGTTTTAAATATATTTATAAATAAAAATTCTATTGCATATGCGTTAATTTGATTGGTGACTTGTAATTTGATTCGACTAATCAGAATTATTCCTATTCAACGATGATTGGATAATTTTAGAGCGCTTATGTAGCTGAGTTTTGGAAGTGAACAATTGCAATACGCTATTACTAAGTAAAGATCTATCTTTAAAACGAAGATTCTTGTTGAGTTTATGGTCGGCATATAATAATTAATATTTTATAACACGTGAGGTTGTGATTGTTCGAATTTTTTATTTAAAAAAATGGCTTTACACGTACCAAAAGCACCGGGCGTTGCCCAAATGTTAAAAGATGGGGCTCGTGTAAGTATATATTCATAAATTTATCATTCCATATATTGCAAATTGCTATACTCCTAAATGCCAGGAAAGTAGCATCGATACCGTCATCGACAGCATTACCTTTTATAGACATTTCTGACACTTTTTATACATTGGATTACAAAATATTATAATATTCATAATTATGTTATATAGTTGCTCTTTAATACGCTTGCAATATTTCATTTTGAAATTATGAAATAATTTATTCACAATTTATAAACTAAAATATACATGATCTTTTACTTACAATTAATAATTGTAAAATTCTTTGTATTTTACAGTTACTAATTGTGTACAAAACATTTAATATTGAGTACTATAATTAATATTAAAAAATAAAGCTTATCTCTCTTTGCCATCAAGAAAATATTATAAATGTTCTCTTTTGACAGTACTTTTCTGGATTGGAAGAAGCAGTATATAGAAACATATCTGCTTGCAAACAGTTTGCACAATCGGTGAGAACTGCATATGGTCCAAATGGGATGAATAAAATGATTATTAATCACATTGAAAAATTATTTGTTACCAATGATGCTGCAACTATTATAAATGAATTAGAAGTTGAACATCCAGCAGCAAAATTGCTGGTACTTGCATCAAAAATGCAAGAAGCAGAAGCTGGAGATGGAACTAATTTTGTTATTATTTTTGCTGGAGCTTTACTTGAAGCTGCGGAAGAGCTTCTTCGCTTGGTATTAAATTATTTATTATAAAAATGAAATAATTATACCAATAATTTTTAAAAAGTAAAGAGTTGTAAGGAAGAAAGGTTTCTTTGTTTGCAGGGTATAACCACATCTGAAATAGTTGAAGGTTACGAAGGAACATTAGAAAAAGCATTGGAAATTCTTCCTACTTTTGTTGTTCATGAAATAAAAGATTATCGAAATGAAGAAGAAATGAAAGCTGGAATTAAAACATCTATAATGAGTAAACAATATGGAAATGAAGAGATTCTGGCATCTTTCGTTAGCAGAGCATGCGTATCTATTTTACCTGAGAAAACTACATTTAACGTAGACAATGTACGTGTTTGTAAAATACTTGGAGGTGGCTTAACATCCTCTCAAGTAGTAAATGGAATGGTATTTAAACGTCAAGTAGAAGGTGATATAACAAAACAATCCAATGCTAAAATAGCTATTTATACTTGTCCCGTTGATATCAGTCAAACTGAAACTAAAGGAACGGTATTAATAAAGACAGCAGATGAGCTGATGCAATTTTCACGTGGAGAGGAATCTCTATTAGAGACACAAATAAAAGCAATAGCAGCCTCTGGAGCTACAGTTGTAGTATCAGGTGGAAAGTTTGGCGATATGGCTTTACATTATATGACAAAGTACAATTTAATGGCTGTACGGATACCAAGTAAATTTGACATAAGACGGTTATCCAAAACTGTAGGAGCCACGGCTCTTTCAAAATTAGTTGCGCCATCGAAAGAAGAATTGGGATATGCAGATTCTGTTTATGTCGATGAATTAGGAGACACTATAGTAGTGATCTTTAGATTGGATGGAAATGATAGTCGCGTTAGCACTATACTTGTTAGAGGATCTACAGAAAATTATATGGATGATATTGAAAGAGCAATAGATGATGGCGTCAATACATTTAAAGGAATTACAAGGGATGGTAGATTTCTTCCTGGTGCTGGAGCTACAGAAATTGAGTTAGCTGCACAGCTTGCTGCTTACGCCGACACTTTACCAGGATTAACGCAATACGCGGCACATAGATTTGCTACAGCTTTGGAAGTTTTTCCAAAAACTTTAGCAGAGAATAGTGGTAATCATGCATCCGAATTACTCTCCAAATTGTATGCAGCGCATAAGGAGGGTAAAAAAACTTATGGATTTGATATTGAGGTTGGCAATATTTTTAACTATAAACATATATGTATTTGTAAATGAATGTAATCGTTAATAAAAATGAATATTTTTTTTATAGGCTGAAGGAACTGCTCTTATAGATACAGTTCAGGCAGGAATCTTAGATCTATTCCTTACCAAGCAATGGGCTCTTAAGTATGCAGTAGAAGTTGCTTGTACTGTACTTAAAGTTGATCAAATTATTATGGCAAAACGTGCTGGAGGTCCAAAAGCACCAGGTGGTGGAGCTCGTGATGACGAAGAGTAATAATTGGTATTAAATTTAATTAACATCTTATGTTGTCAATTCACAGATGTATTTTAGGATAAATTTATGGTAAAGTAAAACATTTACAAATATAAAACCGTACTCACATTGGGTTCATTCAATTTCTTTTCTTTGCTTTCCTTTGTTTAATATTTACTTTTCTTATTGTTTTAATATTTGTCTTTGTTGAAATATATAAAGTATTTATATCAAATTTGTTCCTTTACATTAGTTATAATATTTAATGAAATAAAAAACTTATCTTAAAATTCATCTGTTAACTGATATCGATAACGGAGAAACAATACATCAGTTGTATTCAAATGGCACTATCTTTAACAAAATGTTATGATTGTATATGATATCATCAATTTCATGTCATTTTCACTTCAAGAATTTATTATGCATTCTTGAAAACTCAGACTTTGCTCAAAAACATTAACGTTTATATGGTTTTATATCTTCTCATTCCGTATTTATATTCGCTTTATTCTATTGATGTATGATTAAAATATGGAATAAAATTAAATAAACTAGTATTCATTCTCCAATTAAATTTCATTTTTATTTTTATATAATTATTTTTTATAAAATTTATTTTTAATATTATTTTTTGTAAGTATTTTATTCTTCAACAATGCAAATATGAAACCAATATTTTTTTTTATCAATCATTATTTTTCTTACCACGGAATGTATATAACATTTCATTTCGTAGGATTTTTATAGACACTGTTACAGCATCTACAAATATTATATAGATTTCATTTGTTGCATAAGTTCTTCCAAGCTTAAATTTGATGTATTTACAACTTCATTTTGAGAATTAGTTGATTCTATGGTATAAGCTTCTTGAGCATTTTCTTCTTTCTCTTCTTTTGTTTCTTCATATTCCTCAACTACGGAGATTCCTGTCAAACAATTATATTATTATATTATTGAACAATTGGTTACATTATAAATATTTCATTATGCATTTATACATTGTCGATTATTAATTTTATTAGATACCATATTTATTGTCTTCATGCAAAGGTTTTGTCTCGGTCATTTTTCTTTTAACGGGCTTTTCAACTTTTGGTTTTGCTTGATATTCTTTTTGTTTTTGTCTGCAATAATTGTCGTCGCAATTTGGATTTGGTTTTAACGTCATTGTTGGAAAAAAATCTTGCAATGCGTTATAACCTAAATAGCGTGTTACATCTCCAAAATTAAGTAAATATTTCAAAGCATTCTGTACCAAAAAGCCTGCTACTATAGCCATTGTTGTGGGTAGGGACGCAGCACATACACCATCTTTCTTTAAAGTTCTTTCATCAATGTTTGATGCAACAACCAAAGGTGGTGCACACTAAAAATAAATGGATTTAAAACTAAATGAAAATTAGATGAATGAATGATTAATTGTCTAAAGTATCATACAGCGAAACAAGCTGTCTCTCCTGGTATAAGAAGTTGAATATGCCCAGAGACTGCATTTTCTGAAACACCACTTTCAAACCATATTTGATTGAGTTCATTGCAAGCAGTATTTATTGCCATACGTGCTTCAAAATTATCCACGCAACTTAAGACCAAATCCACTGGTCCTTCATCTAGACTTGATTTACTAGAATCGGTATTACAAAATGAAAGTTAAAGACTGCACAATGAATTATTTTCATATATAATAATCAAAGTTTCTTATATATATATATATTTATAGAGAGAGAAAGAGAAGTATACCTTATTGTAGTCATAAACTCTTTAAAGTTATCTACAGTTGTAATATTATAACAATGTGGTTCAATTTCTACATCAGGATTAATAAATTTTAAAGTTTTGGCAGCAGCATCTACCTTATTATATCCTGCTTGATTCGGTTGAAAAAATAATCTATTCATATTCGCTAATTCCACTTTGTCATAATCAAAAATAATTAGCTAAAATGTATGATACATTTTGTATTATAGAAATATTATAAAAAGTAACATTACATATACTTTAAATAATTATTCTTCTGACCTTTCCTATACCACATCTTGTTAACATCTCTGCAGCTACACTACCAACTCCTCCCACTCCAACGATAGCAACTGTTTTTTCTCGTATACTTTCATAATTATTAACAATACCCATACGTTTTAATGCCATTAGTCGACTATAAAAAATATAATAAAAAATATAATAAAAAAATCTATAAAAGATATAACAAAATATAATAATAATAATAATACAGATATATTTATTAATTGATCGTTTAAATACCTGTAAGGATTAGAATCTACGACTTCACTAGACATATGTTCAGCCCTTTTCTCATTAGAATTATAAAAAGGTTTCTTAGTTATATCATTCATGAGTGCTTCTAATTCCAAATCATTCAGATCTGCCATTATTTCTCTTTTTGAAAAATGTTGAGTTAATTAAATTACTGAAATATTGTTTAATAGTTTACTCTTGTCAAAATTGATACGGTAAGATTAACCAAGAGGCAATTGAAGTAGATAAGAATTAGACGACTTAATAGTGACATCTAGCTGTAGGAATAAGTAATATAAATCTTGATTTACTTTTTGTGTCGATAGGTTAGGAATTTAATCGATCATTAACCAGCAGATATATATTTTTCAAAGTAAAAAACGTGTATTACGAGTTGTAAGACAAAAATATTGTTTATTTATTTTATAATACTTTGTAATATTATTATTGTGCAAATAAACAAATTTCATGTATTACTTATTACCCGATATGAAGTAATATAAAACATTTAGGTATGTGAAATATATTTATGAGAAAGTGCAATGTTAATTATAAACATAAGCATTATTACACGCAAACAATTATAATTATTATCTGAAATAGTATTTAAATAGTAAATTCAATTTTTTATACTAAATATTGAAAATCTTTATCAAATAAGTACAATAATTCGTATTTATTAATTATACTTTTAAATATATTTTCCTTTTAACATAAAAATAACGCGTTTTAAAATAAACGTAATTAAAACGAAATATGTTTTGTGAATTAATAAAGCGAAAACAAATATATTTTCGTATTTGAATAAGCATGAAGTTAATATATATATATATATATATATATATTAATAATTAAATCAAAATAACTTAATAAATTATAAAATTCGGCACCATATCAATAAAGATTGCACGAATAGTTTTGATTAGCATCGTTATATATATATATAACGATATACTATATATATATATATGTATAGTAATAACACGATTGCATATACATTTGAATTAACTTTCTTATCTAATTTGTATATTATAATTTTCAACTAATTACTGCATACATATATATATATTTGTTGAGTAAATACTACAAATAATCTTGCGAAATATCTATTTAATCCTACTAGTAAAAAAATATATTTTTAAACTAATTCTTGATTAATTACTAATTTAATAGTATATTATTATTTTTAGGAAACAATTAACATTTACTATATTAATAGTATTAAAATTATTTTCTAAATATTATATTACAAAAATATTATAATATCTGTGCGAGCAACGTCTACACCGCAATCTACGAATATATTTATGTAGAAATTTATTATTCAAGTCTTAATGTTTCAATAAATATTTCTTTATAACTTATTACTCGATGATACGTAGAAAATATATATATAAATTTTACGCACCTAGAAATATATATATATATAAAGAGAGATTAAATAATAGATTTATCAAACGTACGTAACAAATTGGACAGAAAAAAAATTTCGATAAAAATTAACGATAAACCTTTTCTCAAAAAACACTATCGTTTTCATGATTATTTTCATTGGATTCTTTTTTCGCTGCTATAAGATTTTCCCATTGAGCGATGAGAGTACTTCGACGTCGTGGATTCGGCTGAAAATAATTTCACTTGAAACATCAATTAAACTTTTGCCACTTTTTACAAAAAAAAAAGGATATTTTACCTTATGTTTGCCTTTACTTTCTTTTTCTATTTCATCTTCGTTTAACGTATTAGATGATGCTCCGCTTCTTAAGGAACCGGTGCCATCGTAAATATCGGAATCATTGTCGTTACCGATATCTAAGAGATTTGGTTGAGATTTTGCTAGCATTTGAGAACGCATTAATCTAGAAACAAATTTCCAGAAATTTCAACGTTAATTTGTTCATATTATAATTGTACATTACATAATAAATACACACAATATATTATATATACAAAACAAGACAAAAAAAAAAAAAAAGCATATTTTTGCATAGATTGCTTTTTTTCTCTTATCTATTATAACTGTTTGCTTACCTAAGCTCATTTTCTCGTTCCTTCATCTCGTGTAATTCTTTTTGAATTTTTTCTTCAACAGGTACGTAACCCTTCCTAACAGGAGGTTTTTTAGGTTCATCATCTGGTTCAAGTTGTATCTTCAAACTGCGATTAAATGCTTTTACACTTATAGGATTAAGTGCAATGGTAGGTAGAGTGGTAGACGAAGTTATAAGATCATTAGGTGTTGTATTAGACTTATAAATCTTTCCCCTAGTTGCTAAGAACCTATGCATCAATCCTTTCTGGCTAGGTGCTGTAGCAAAACGTAAAGGTCTTGCTGTTGTATTAGAAGATGTTACACCGTTCGTCATTTTTGGTAGAGTAGATTGCGTCGAAGGGACAAGACTAACAGCTTCGAGAATTTGTGGCGTTGACGTTGCCCTCTTTAATTTACTCGATGCCAAAGCTTGCGGCATGCGTCTCACCTAAATTCAAATCAATGTGCACACATTAAAATTATTTTCTTACGCTTTCATTCGCGCGCTACCCACGCGTTTGTTAAATACTTCATAGTCTTACAATTAAAACTGATTGTGAGTTAATCTAATAAGTTTATTGCACGAATTAACTCTCGAAGATTCGTTAGTTCTGTTCTACTTGTTAAACTCCTAGAGATTTATCTATTTTTTAACAGGTGGATGACTTTATTTAAATATAAGTAAATTACATTTGTCTATCGTAATATTAAAATGTATACTTTTGAATAATTAATAATGCATACATAGGATATTAAACGTGGACTGAAATTCCAACGCAAAATGTAATCTAAGTGCTTGTGCTTTTCGTATTAGAAAGAAAGCACGTATAAAGTGTGCAAAGGATGCACAATTTTGATCCTTATAAGTATCACACTACCGACGTGCTCACTTTCCTTCGACGTTGAGCGACCTTGAGCTCGAGCACCTTCGTATGCACAAAGATATTTCTTTCTTTCTCTCTCTTTCTCTCTTACAATATACCCACCTTGGAATCCACCGTCTCGTGCGACGTGGTTTTAATGCTACCCACGTTTCGTAGCTCGTGCTCCCTCTCCGTGACCTCTTCGATCTCCTTTTGTATTCTGTCCGTTGCCTTTTTTAACTGTTCCAATCTATGCTCCGCCTAAAAACAAGATCAACTTTGTTATATCATTATTGTTTTATTTTGTTTTTTTTTCATGGCCAAATAAATTTCTTCCGAAATTTATTGCCTATTTAGTTTTAGTTTTTTTTTCTCTCTCCGTTTATTCCTGTATTTATTGTTGTGAAATATTAAATAAATAATTTTTCCCGTGACCTTTGACTTTTGAAAGAAAAACAAAGAGAACAAAGAAAAGAAAGATAACGGCAAAATACTTGGAATACCAAACGATCATAGTGCTACCGATCTCGATGCTAACGGGAAGTGAATTCCAAAAAACAGGTTGTAATCTCAATACCAATATGATTGAACTTGATAGTCCAGCTTTTTCTCTCTCCTCGTTGTACTTAAAGAAGAAAAAACTTGGTCAAATGATATAGATCTTCTTACAATTAGATTAAATCTTTGTATCATCAAAAACACGTGTTTTCATTTATGACTCAAATCTGTGAATCATTTCAAATATTTCGCATCGACCTATCGATCTATTGATTTTTCGATCATTCTTAATTTCTTAATACTTTGTTTCTTTTTTTTTCACGTTGTTATTTAAACTGAACTTACTTTAAATGCTCGTAATCATATAGATGAGAATAACAATACGGTTTTTGTTGTCGACGTATAAATAAATATAAAAAAAAAAAAAAACAATAACCGAAAATGAATAACTTCGTTATAGGAAGTAAAATATTTATCCAAGTAGTAAGTTCCTCTTTCTATTCTATTCTACTGCACTCTAAAGCAAGCAGCTGCACTCGAGCGGCACTCAGGAATGCCGCTCGCAGAAAACTAACAGCAATTGCTGTGCTTCAATGTAACATGCCGGTTAAACCGTAAGCCGGTTGGTTAGCTGTTTCCTTTCTAAAAAAAATGGGCCACGGATCTTCCTGACTTGTCTCGTTGCCTCCTTTCTGACAGTTTCCGATCGAGAAAATCCATTTTTCATTCATTCGATACAGAAAACAATTATCGATTCATTTTTGTCACAATTTCAATGACGATGCAAAATTAACTGTATTTTCAACGTAATTTTGTTTATTTTTCTTTGACTCATTTCTAATTAACAATAGACAATATATATATAGACTATATACAAAAGAAACGTTTAATTTTATCGCGTGAATGATACGGCTATGAAATAATTGTAGTAATATAATTATGCTTAATGAATACTTCAAACGATCTTGCGTGTAATATCTTTTTACTGACTGCTATAAAACTCTCAGAGAGCACATCTCGTTACTTATGTTAGTCCACCAGTCAATTAGGAAAGTTTGAAAAAAAGATGATGATATATGATCTATATAGATTTTTTTTATATAGCTTTATTTAATGTCGCATCAACCATCGGGGATTATTAGCGACATAGATTTTTCTTTCGTTACAATTTCAAATATACGTGAATGTAAAATATGTATATACATATCGTTATATCAAAAAACAAAATTTAATGAAGGAGATTGGGGATCTGTCTATAATGATTGGACAAAGGTATCACAGATGTTTCTCGATGTAATAATATACCTGCTTCACAGAAACATCTGTTGCTTTATAAGTTAGTTTTCTGTCAAAGATTCGTTTATGAAATTCTCCTAGATATATATATATATATATATATATACATATATATATATATGTATTTGGTGTACTAAATAATTATTTTATAAATTTAATTAACAATTGATAAAGAGAGAATTTCAATAGAAATGTTATTTAAAAAATAATTTCATTCGATTCGTGAAATCGAAAAGAGAAAGGATGAGAGTTTCTCCCTTCGAATCTTTCATTTATTTTCTCTTTCTTATAAGCAATAAATAACAAATATTGTATTACAAATAATTCGTAACTTTTTCTTTTAATAAGAATTATTTTATCGAGTGTGAATTATTTAACAATTTCTAATCAATTAATTTCAAACTGTTACCCGACTACTGTTCATCAAATGCCAATGTCTATGTCGCTTTACTAAAAAAAAATAACAACATTGATATACTTAAAAAAACGTTTTTTTTTACGATAATACTTAAGTATGACGTTTATATTTGTAATTATAATTTTTTACCATCGATATAAATATCTCAATATTTGTTTTACCTTTCAGAAAGAAAGAAAGAGGGAGGGAGAGAGAGAGAGAGAGAGAGAGAGAGAGAGAGAGAGAGAGAGAGAAAGAGAATAAGAGTCTACCTTATATTTAAATGATATTACCATTGTAATTAATATTATAGTTATGGTATTATTTTACTATTAATTTTCGTTATCATGAGATTATTATTTTTTTGTTAGAATAATAAATATAATATTATGTTAATTATGGTCGTATTATTACGATTTACAGCATTATGTATTTCTACAAATATGTTGTGTTGTAAATGCAAGTAAATACACGTGTAATAAATCAAATGATTATATCTCAACGAGAATAGATCCTGTATAGGAAACGTAATAATTCCTAGAAGATTTACTTATTTTTTTTTATATCTATATATATACGTGCACGAATAAATGTGTTTAATACACAGATGTACGATGACGCAAGTATGATCTTATATACGTGATTTTACTCATAATTTTCAAGCATACACTCTTATGCACTACATCAACGTTATCTTTATCAAATATTTATCTTTACAGCGTAACGAATTTATATTCTATAATACGTTTTATTTATTTATTATTTATAAAATTAATAAGTAAAAAAAGAAAAAAAAGGAAGGAAGTATATTTCATACAAATTGAAAGAAAAGAAAAAAGACAAAAAAAGAAAAACTTACACATAACTCTATATATTCGTAATGACAAGTGCAGTTTTATCTTTGATTCGCTATCAACCAAAAAAAATGTTTTTTAAGTCAAGGCGTTGAGTCAACGTATAATTTAACGATTACGATGTAAAGATAGTAAAGAGGACGTCGTAAAAATGTAAACAGTAAGAAACATAAAAATAAAAATATATATGTATACAGGTATGCAGACTTACCTCCATTTTCATTGTTGCTGTCAATGAGGCTTCGCCCAAACGATCTGGTAGAAACTAGAGCCTTTATCAGAATTGTCGTCTGATATAGAATACGTAGATTGTCAAAAAAAAATGTATTACAACTCTTTTATCAGATCGCAAGTGGTTGAATGCGACGCCTCTTGCGATTATCATACCGCACAATTACACCTATATGGCGCGACTAAAATTTGAAAGTTTTCAAAGGCGGGATAATTAAACATTTTTGATCCTTTCTATATATGTGCGCCTATGTGTATGCGTTTACGTATACGTATATGTATGCGTGGATTCACGTGGATCAAGAATATACCGGAACGTTATTGACTTACCAAATCGATCGAGAAGATCTATCTCTATGATCGTAACGAAAATAAATGACTCCTATCTATACTAACTATCGATCATTTTCACTTGTCCTATCGTCGTTGTATTAACTTATATCACTTAGTCGACGTTTATTCGCGTAAAGAAATTGAACGATACGCGTCACGACGCGAGGTTATCGTCAAGCCCCAACCGATCTCTGTACTCTGGCTGCCATTTTACCTGTGTGACCTTGTTCTCGATCCGTTCTCCAAACAAAAGCAACACAGGGTCGAAGGCGGACCACATCGCGTGTAAGACCTAAATGATTATTTCATTTTATTCACAGTTTCTGTTATTTTACAGAAATTTAAATACAACAGGAAAAAATCAACAACAACAATAACAAAAATGCTTTCGTCTTAAGTTATTTAAATTTCGCACTTTTTTTGTTACGATTATTGAAAAATAAATTTTAATACCTTGATTTTTTCTTTGAGTTTTCTTATCAAATGTCTATTGTTTTAAATAAATGATTTGTAAAGAAAACAATAGTTATTTTGTTACTTATATTGCTGGCAAAATGTTGACCGCTTCAATTTATTTAAATTTTAATTATAAGTGACTGTTAAATTAAAGACATATTTCTCAAAGAATACTCGCAACGCCATCTTCCGTGTACCATCATAAGCTTAATTTTTAAATCTTTGAGAAATGGAAGCTATAGCTGCACTGTATGTTATCCACATTTTGCTTCAAAAATTAAGAGATATACCTAGAGGGTTACCGTTCATTATTATATATTTAACAAATAATTATATAATATAGTTAAAAATGCATGAAAATTTTTAATTGATTAATGTTTACATATATGGAGAGCACATGCGCATTGGCGTATGATGAGTAATGCTTGTACTCAGATTTATTGGAACTTTTGTTTAAATCTTATCATACATTGTATAAATAATGATTTTTAATAAATGTATAGATATAAAAAAAGAAGTATAAAGTTCTACTAGTAAATCTACTACGATGTTTATTAAATGTTGCTACAAAAGGATTAATTATCCTTTTATTTAATTATTTGAACCTCCACGGAGACGTAAGACTAAATGTAAAGTAGATTCTTTCTGAATGTTGTAATCCGAAAGAGTTCTTCCATCTTCTAACTGCTTGCCGGCAAATATAAGTCTTTGTTGATCAGGAGGAATGCCTTCTTTATCTTGTATTTTAGCTTTGACATTTTCTATTGTGTCAGATGCTTCGACCTCTAATGTAATAGTCTTCCCGGTAAGAGTTTTTACAAAAATCTGCATTTTTGCAAGAAGACTGTGTAATTAGGTTAGAATCAATTTTTTTAATATTTTCGTCTGAAAATAAAAGAGAATTAGAAAAAAACATGTGAAATCATAGTATGGTTGACATAATATATATATATATATATTTTAGATCACGATACCTAATGAATATTTATACTTAAATTAATATTATATATTATAGAAATATAATGTAGTTTATAGAAGTAAAATAAGGATAGTTAGAAATAAAAAGATTATTTTGTTTTTTGACAAGGATAAAGATTACTCATAAATATTATTGATTATGACAAACTGAAAATAAATATGGTGTTTATTATTGTATCGAGACCAACAATGAATGATAATGAAAAGATATTATATATGCAAATGTCTAAATAATATGTATAACGAATAATCATAAAAAATTAAAGAGACTTACTCGATACAATGCACAATTGATATTAAATACCAGCGGAATCAAACAACTCGAACAAAAGGATGAGTAGCTAAGGACACCGCTACGTCAAACTATTTTCTATTATAACCTATTCCAGCGGCATCTATACGATCTGTCAAGATAGATGGCGCTATAATCGGAGAAATGGTAGGGGTTCGTCAGAGTAAATATAATCGCGTTGCTCGTCTTCGTAAATACGTACTGTGATTTGTTTGAGGAAGTATCAGGATGAAAATTTCCTTCGATCGGTAGCTGTTTTATTTGGCAGTTAAACGAGGTATAATGTTTAACATTAATTTATTCTATACAATATTGTATATATTTTCAAAGTTCTTCTCGTCCGAGGATTAGCAAACTCGTGCGTATATATGTTCCTTACGATCAGCTGACTTCCGGAAGTAATATGTGTATATAAGGAGGAGCTGTAAGTAAAAAGAGGATAAATCCTTTAAGGGAGTTATTATAGTATTTTAACGGGAAAATAGAAATTAACTTATATATAAATATTAAGAAATTATATAATCTATGGGACAATATATATATATAGTTTTAAGTAGTCTTTTATCATTTCCAAACGAAATAACGTCAAAGCTTTTGTTTAATCGTTGAATTAGGGTAAATTGTAGGGACGTAAAGGTTCAAAGGCCCGTAGATCGGTAGATTAGTGGGTTAAATCATCGCATTTACTATCTCGTATAGATAGGCACACATGTATTTTGTATTATTCGATGAATGAAACAATTTTGTCGTTTCATATTAATTAGTAATATTCATTAGTAAATAAATGAACAATTCAATAGCGAACGTAATTACATTTGGTTAATTAATAACGCTTGGCTATGATGTGTAAATATATTTGTTTGTACAGATCTATGCTAGGTGTAAATTTATAATCATAATTTATTAATTATCTGTTGTCGTTTGTAAGCACAGACAATACAATATGAATTCCAAAGAGGATGGAAAGATGCAGGGAAAGTCTGAAACAAGATTAGATGGTGGCTTACAAAAGAATGATAACCAAACAACTGAACAAGGAAATAAGTTATCCAAAGCAACTAAAATACAAAATAAAATGTCTGACGAGCAGTTGAAATTGAATAATAATGTTAGTGAGAGTGACGCAAAAAGTGTATTACCTTCCAAATCTTCTATGATGGTTTCTAATGGAGCACGATCGATGGAAGCTACTACATCGGATTGCAGTCATTCGTTGGAACAAGTTACTATTTCTGACACACCAAATGCAAGTTCATCTTCCACTTTTGTAAATACTACAAGTGTCATATCACATAATGCAAATACTAATTCTGCAAGTCAATTGAAGCATAAGACTGTTGTAAATGCAAATACTCTTAACTTGCCTAAGCCTCAAATGCACTTAAATTTATCTTCTGGTCAGTTGAATTGCCACCTGACTAATACGGTTACACCAGTTTCTTATAGTTCTATCAATGCATCTAATACTAATGCATATTCGAATACGTCTATATCAAATTCGTCCACTGTTTCTCAGCATTTATCTGGTAATAGATTAAACGATGATACGGATATGAAAAATAATGTTGATTACGCTTCGGAAATAGAAAAATGTCCTTCTAAAGTTTCCTGCAGTTCAGATTCCAGTCCAGAAGGTGATCAGATGTATACTTTAAAAAATACCTTACCAAAATCTAATAAATCTGCTAGTATATTAAATAATATTGGAGGGAGTATAGGTTCGACTAGTCAAGGTACTTGTTTTCTAAGACCTAATATCAATGGAAATAGAGAAGTTGCTGGACCAAGTGGTTTACAAAGAGTAAGTATTTATATTTACTTGTATGAGAAAATATTTGAAATATTTCTACAATTATACTAAATCATAGTTATGTTTTACCTAGTATTTTCAAAAAGATATAATTGACAGAAGAGATTCTAGTTCCGGAAATGAAGGAGATATGTCTGATGGAGAAGATTATTGTATTTATACATATAAAGGGAATGACAATATAGTTAATCTAGATCAGAAAGAGGAAGTCAATCGAGTCCAAGTTGCAGAACATGAAGTAGGACAATGTCACAGTGGTAGATCTAGTCCAGAGATGGACTTTTTAGAAATGGACTTTGATCCTGGACCTTCTTGCGAGCAGGTAACTAATTTAAATGTCAAAGATAACTAGTTCATTTTATATTAATATATTCTATAATTTAGGATACAGGGGACAGCGATTTGGCTTCTATAAATGAAGACATACAAAATATAACATTAGATAACGCAGAGGCAGATCCTGTTTTAAATGATTTGAGTAGTGGTAAAGTTGTATCTAGGCAAGGAATAGCAACTGTGCCTCAACATAATCCTCAAACTGGACAAAATGTTAGCCATATAGTTACTCAACAATGTTCCAATAATCGTCCAATCAGCGAGCAAAGCTCCAAACAAACTTATTCATCTCCTTGGATGCCGAGTACTAGTAGTGGATCTGGTAAGTTAATAAGAACAACTTAACGAATCGTATTTTGTAAAATATAGAATATAAAATATTTATTCAAGTATTTAAACATTACATAGTATAACACAATACATCCAAATATAAAACATAACCATTACATCAACTTATTTAGAATCTATGTACTCCGTATACCACTATATTTCCCAGCTTTCCAGCCATGGGAGAATCGTATTTTGTAATTGATATTAGAATGCATAACTTAATATAATTAATCTAATATAATTAATCTAATTGATTCAGGGTGCCATTCTAATCTTCATGGAAAAACAGAATCAATTGGATTTCATAGAAACTTAGGATGTCCTTTGCGCGAATCTTATGGATATCATAATACGAGTGGTGACTTAATATCGCCTGGAGATAATCGAGATTCGGACTCTGAATTATGGACAGAAACCTCTACTGTATCCACGCCAGGAAATTCGAATTTAAATTCAAGAAAGGTGAATCTCAGTTCTACACTTTATCATCGAATGATGGCCAAAAAATTAATGCTTAATAAACAAACTCCTTTTAATCAGAGTGGCGATTCAAACTTGGTTTGTAGAATATTATTATTGTTGAAAATTTTAATATTCTATATATATATATGTATATATATTAAATAATACTTTTAGGAAAATGAATTATCTAATGAGCAAATTGATGGACTTCCACCAGTTAAAAAAGTCATGTTGTGGAATGAGCAAGAAGCTACAACTAATCAAGTCACTCAAATTGCAACTTCTGCATGTGGTGCTACTTCTGCCATCAATGCTTTGGTAATTTATATCTACAAATGATATTTAACTATAACCATCTAAATGTTATAGTTTTTAGTCACTTACTAATGGTTTTAAATTTCATTTTTAGTTGGCTTTGAAAGTTTCTTTCTCTGCAGAGGTATTGGTAAAAGCTGTAGGTACTAGATTAAGAGATCCTGGTTCCCCACTTCCACAATATCTAATGAGTAGATCGTTGGCTGGTTCAACTCATAAAGACATAGCAAGAGGAATATCTCTATCAACAAGTGGAGCAGTCATCACAAAATTCTTTTCCTTTTATCCTGAAAGAAAGGTTTCACTTTCTCATTGGCTGCATTACTGGATTTCTAAAGGTGCAAGATTTATATTGACATTAGATACGTGTGTATGTATATAATTTTTGGATTATTAAAAATTCGAATATTCCTTTTTAGGAGCTGCTCCTATAGCTACATTAAATTTACAACATTGTGGCGAAGGTACTGATATTCCGGATGCATGGCATCATCAAATGATATTTGGCGTAGGACAAGCGGGAATATATTTAACAAACCCTCTACAATGTTTACCTGAACAAGTTTGTATTAAAAAAGTTCAAATTTAAAACTTAATCAATCGTAAATATATAATTATTTTATTTAATATTTTCAGCTTGTTTGGCATCAGCTTGTTAGTCCTAGTGTTTTATTAGTAAGGCGGGCTGATGTTTTAGCACGTTGGAATGCAAATACTGATTTAACACTTCTTGCTAAGATGGACCAGAAATGGAGGAAGCTTAATGTTCTGGGTAAGTTTATATTTATATCTCCTTGTTATTTATTTTAATTTTGTATGCAAATTAAAAACGTGATATATACTTGCAAAATATCTTTTTTTTTATCTTCTTTTTTTAATAACAGGACAAGTTGTAAATATGATACGAGAAGCAATGAATCAGAGACAACAGCCTAATGTTACAACTATTGGTACAACTCATATTCGTATACCTGCATCTTACCAAGCAGGCATTACATTAGTTATGTGTGCTGATTCTGCAGATGCTACTGAACTGTTACATGCTGAACAATTACCATTACTCTAGTCTTGTTGATCAAAATTAATAAAACCAGGCTGCCCTCATTTACTTGTAATAAATTTCATTAGCAGGCTGGTCCGCACAATGTTATTTACAATGGTTAATTTACTGTTTAAGCAGTAGTATCGCTGACCTAAAAAAAGAAATGATTTACATTTTTGAAATAAGAAATATTTGTATTCACAGAGAGTATATTATCAATTAAAATATATTTCAACAGAATTTTCATTTTCTATGAAGTTGTATTCTTTGATTTTCAAAAAAAAAAAAAAAAATTATTAATGGAATCTATTGAAATTATGATTGATATAAGAATTTTGTAAATTTATCAGAACTAAAATCTCTCTTATAATTAATATAAACTTACAAGTTTAAAGCTTTGATAGTTTATTGATTAAGAATGTTTAGCGTCGGTATATAGGAATCGTGTTTAACATCTTAATGGGTAAGTATCAACTATCGCCCACTACTGATTGCTGTCTGAAACGCCTTAGGTAGATATATATACTTCTTTTATATTAATTATATTTTCTATTGTTAACATTTTATTTTATGTTTTATCTACATATAATGTAATCTTTTACATGGTCCATCCGGATTTTTTGGAGTTTCAAAATTTTAAGTTTAGTCGATTAACGTAGTTGAAACTTTTCTAAATTATTTTTCGACTAAAAATATGACGTTAACAGAATTTAAAAATTCTGTTGAAAGACGATTAACAATAGAGAATCGCTGTTTTCATGTACAAGAGGATAAATCGAATAATTTTTTCAGGTTAGATCTAAATACGGTTAATTCAAAAAATATACAGCAAAGCTGGAAACCAGGAACAATTAGAAACGCATGCGACGAAATACTCGCGCGAATGAATAAAAATTTTTATTCGATCTAAGCCGTACATTATTTATCTTATCGTCCATATAATTGAATATATGGATCAGCATAAAAATTAATATTTCAGTAGATTAATGATTACTACAATTTACTTAAAGTTCAATGTGTTTTCATGAAATAAATACATTGACAAAAAAATTGAACATATAAAAACTTTTGAGAGGTTTGTAATTTTATAAATTTGTTATTTTAAATTATATATTTGCTACTGAACAAAGATTTGTCATTTACAGTGAATAGGAAAAAATAAGAAGAAACAAAAATGATAATCCGTATCCCAGACATTTCACAAAATTTTATTTTGGACACAGCAGTACACGATGCTACCAGTATATTACTCAAATCGTATTTGACTTCAAGCGATTCTTCATCATCCTTTACAAATATTCATATTCATGCAAAAGATAGTGAATTGATAAATTCAAAGCAGAACCGTATAAAAATATCTCAATCTTTTCTTACAAGAATGGCGACAATAGCATGGCATTTTTTGGACATTTCAGTTATTTTTTGCGCAACTACTGATCAAGACAAAGACAACAATTATTGAAATAACATCATATAGAATTAAATTTTGATAAGATATTAGCTATATTTTCAAGGTAAAACAAATAAACATTTTTATATAAACTTTTGTACACCTTGTGTATTATTTACATTTATACACACACACGCAATTAACATTATAATTTAAGATAAAGTCAATTGATTATCTTTTAATACTTGTCTTACGTTTATATTTATTCTAGCTTCGGCTAAATATTTTTTTGCACAAATCCAGTCACTTTCATTAGTCTCAGTTTCATTTGTATCCCAAGGACATAATTGAGATGATAGAATTTTAGGTACCCCGTGATATCTCAAGCGTGAACTACCAGCCATTACTAATATGTCACCACTTTGTAGAAATAGAGCATCTGCTGGATTTTTTTGGGAAAGGCCGCCTATCAAAAATATAGCGGTCTGTCCAAAACTAATGGAAAAGAGCGGTGCTTCTATATTTGGCTCGGAGCAATCTGTATGTCCTGCTAATGTAGAATTCATTCGATAATAATTAATAATGGCTGCTTCTGCTCTAAATTTTGAAAAATTTAATACTCTAGCCAAAAATTGCGTTAATTCGATAAGTTCAATAGGCATGGGTGTTTTAGAATTTTCAGAATATACTTTAGTGTCCCAATCATGATGGTATCCCAACGTTGCCCATCGTAACTTTGGGAGCAAATTTGCTGCTCTATTATTATTATTGGATCTAAAAGAGGAAAAAAGAAAAACTAATTTGTCTAGAATATAATTATAAGTATTTCTTTACCGGAAACATATGTCCCACCAAGTTTCGTGATTACTTAAAATATTATGAGCATCTAAATTTAATTTATTTGGTTTCTTTGAATAATCCCTTAAACACTTTAGAATCCAGTAATGATGACCACTTGTTGTAAATGGATTTTGAATAAAAATAAGTCCTACAAGTGTTAATAGAGATTAGATTAAATTAAAGAAAAAATATACACAGTGATGTTTTTTTTACCTGGAATATTTAACAATTCATAAATTTTCCAATCCTTTGAACATTTTAATCCAAATTTCTTTTCACACGTGTCACTTGTAAAATGTGCTTTAATATTTTTAACCTAAAGATAAACATACACATACACAGGTATAGTGGTAAATTAATAGATTTTAGATTGATAAATTGGTAGATTAGTAGATATTAGTAAATTATACATACTTTACTAATATCTGGACAATTAAAATCAATTACATTTGTTAAATCAGGCAATGGATTTCGACTTTTATAATATTTGAAATTATCTTTGAACATGTTTACTAACCACGGTGGCTACCATGTTTTATTAGTTCATAATGGATCACCAGATGTCACTTTATTTGACATCTAATATTTTGACTGTACATGCATAATTAAATTTAATCTGATTACATGCGTATGTAACTATAAGAGGATAAATAATAACTAAAATAATTATAATTTAATTTTATAATTTAAAGATACGATTTAGATTTATATATCTTATTCCATAATTTATTCTATTTATTTTATCGTCCTACTTTGTTACGTTTTCTGACAACATTTGGCATGTTGATTTTCGCGGTAAATTATATAACAATATATACATATACAAAACATGTATTGAATTTAGGTTACAAGAACAAGAATGGAATGATTAAAAATTTTGTATTCTTATGAAATATTTGAGACATTAAATAACGAGGAGTATAATACCAGTTATATTAATGACTAAGGACGGTGAAATGTATTCGATCGTGTACACAACACGTGCTGTATTCATTACCATTACTCCATTCACTTTGCATATCTTCATCAATTGTAGGATCAAAGTGAGATTATGTCAAAAAAGCATGAGTTTCCCTTGTAATTATTTATATTTTCATTATATCTCTCATCTATGTGTTTGTCCCTTGGTAATCATCCATGACTAATTTTAGCATGTAATTTTCATATAATAGTTAGTCCGTGGAAATAGCGTGATTTCATATACGACAGAAAAGAGGCACGGCGTTGAGCCTCAAGGCTTTTCGAAAGCTCCGCGTAAATTAATAGCACAGCATGCCGTACGGCGCGTTAATGCTCCTTTCATTACTATTACCAATGCGATCCATAAATAGTGTTTATTCACCTGAAATTCGATCGACCATTCACCTATTAAAAAACATATAAACTAATCTATTTTTTCTCAGATCTTCCTTGCAATAACAATTTGTTATTAACCTTGACACTAACGGATCTTTAACGATCAAGTGTGAAGTGTTCTCGAGTAGTCACATTTATCGTAATTTATTAACATCTAGCGATAAGTATTAAGAGGTAACGTATTCATTCTAGAATCATCTGACAGGGAAAAGTTTTGTTGTCATATAACGAAAGAAAGGATGAGGAAAAGGATTCGATCGAAAGAAAAGGAGAAGTAAAGAGAGAGAGAGGAAAAAGGAGAGGGAAGAGGGAAGAAAAAGAAAAATAAAGAAAAAGAAAGAAGAAGAAAGAAAAAGAAAGAAAGATTCAGGCGCGAAGAAAATCGAGTCGCGCCCAAAGACGATGCGCGACTGACTGCGTGCGTCGTTTGCGATCTCGGTCGTGTTTGCGACTTCGGCCAATCACAGTGGTCGGCCGTTTCTGATCACGTCACCGCGGACCAATAAGAATCGCGACAAGTGACAGCATCTGCTAAAAATAACTCTGATATATCTAGGCCGGTCGCGAGCGCGAATAATCCACAGTCGTGCGCCGGCAGCCGACGAAGGCGAATGCTTTGTATGAGCGTGCGTACGTGCGTGCGTGCATGCGTACGTGCGTGCGTCTAAATCGCGTCTGATTTTTTCTTACATATTTTTTTTCTTTTTTTTAATTTTCTTTTCTTGATTTTATTTTTGTTTATTATCCTTAACCGTTTCGTGAATCTTTTGTAGAGAGTGTATTTTAAATGTGTCGTATTTGTTTTTTTTTTACATTACGTCTGCTATATTGAAAAAATAGACCGACGACGTCGGTCGTCGACGTTTATCGTCAACAGTATCATCCTCTCGTCGTTTCTACCACCACTACATTGATGTATTTTTCTACTGAGCAGAAAGAAGGTAGGATATAACCTCCTTCGCATGTCAAATTTCTGTTTATCTTTTTTCTTTAACGACGATGCACGTGTTTCCCTCCCCCCTCCACTCTCCACCTGCGCACGCGATAAATCTCGTGATTGGTAGCCAGGAAACGTTTTTATAGGTCGAGACTATATATATAGTTCGATGGTTTGATTTTAAACAATGGATCAATCATAAAGAAATATTAACGTTTTTATTAAGATTATTAAAATAATATTTGTGTTTTTTAATATTGTCATTAATATATATTCAATAATTTGTTTAGTTGTGATAGTTGCTTTTAATCTTTAGCGTCATTGCTAAAAAAAAAGAAACCGTAGAGTTTACTTCTTCGCTTCTTTTATCTTCTAATGCATATTCATCTTAATTATTCTAATAAATAACATTTATACGCACTTCTTTGAAATCTAATCTCAAAGTTTATTCGTAAATAAATGTACGAACACGCGTAAACAAAAGTGATCTATACAATAGGTTTCGGTAATTATTTAAGCAGCCTTGTATCCTATTCAATTTTCGAGAGAGGGAGAGACACAGAGAGAAAGAGAGAGAGAGAGAGAGAGCGAGAGAGAGAGAGCGAGAGAGAGAGAAAGAAAGAAAGATAAATAGTTTCTATGAGAATAGACTGAGAAGGGTGTTTATAATAGTAGATTCATGAATATGAATGTACAATGTCTATTTACTTGAAAAGTTTCCTATGTATTACTTCGTCGATGAGCGAGGTGTTTAGAGACGAGCGCGTCAAATGCATTCGTGTTTTTAAATTCACCTTTTTCAAAATTTCAAAGGGAGAACTCCAACACATAAGAGGAGATAAAGAAGATAATTACTCCGAAAGTAATGTTAGATTATTAACGGTATTATTATTATTATTATATAACACAACAAGTTGGAATAAATCTACTTAAAATAAAAAGAAGAAATATGATAATCTTTTGTAAAGGGGGATTTGTAATAAATAATCTTATCTTTCTCTTTCTCAAAATAATCGGATCGAAAGTAGGTTTTTACAATTTTAGTCTTATCGATGAAGTCAATGGGAATGGTAGATTCTTTGTCGGTAGAATAGATCCTTTTCACGGCCGTGAACTTGGTGACATTTCGTCGTCCAACGATCGATCGTCAATGGCGCGTCGCGACGGCGTCGTTTTCAAGTGTTCAAGCATAGAATATATGCGTTTTTAATTGGTTCAAAAGGAACGAATATGGAACCTAACTATTATAACTATACGTAGATTTAAATGTATGTCTATTATATGCATAGATATAAATGCACTACGATCTTCTCGCGGAAGGTCAATGAAGATATGGAAAGAGATAAAAAGCACAAAAGAAACGGATATATATTGTGTCCCTCGAATCAACTAGGTTTTCGTTTCTCCTTCTTTTTCTTTCTAAACAAAAATGTGAGAGGAACATTCTTACCTATATAACTAATATATACATACAACATGAGCGTAGTAGTTGCCGATTTATCGGCGCCCAGGATACAAATAACCTTCTTACAGCTGATTTTACGAGAGATGATATAACTGGATTTACAAGTTGCGCGTCCTCTCTCCTTCTATTCCTTTCGTTAAGTCAGAGAGAAAGAGTAAGAGTTAAAATAGAAAGGAAGAAAGAAAGAGAGAGAGAGAGAGAGAGTTCATTATTGTTCAAGGGCGTCAATGTACCGATTGAATTTAAAATGCTAATGCATCGCGTACAATTGATGGCTTGTGCGTGTGCAAGTTTACTTTATCTCTCTTTCTTTCTCTTTTTTTTTTTTTTAGAGAAAAAAAGATGAATTCAGGATTAATTGGATGTGCACGTACGGTTCGCTTTTGGACTTTACGTGTTAGCGAAGGAAAAATCGTGCATAAGTTTATATCAAGGCTTGATACGTTATCGCGAAAACGTTATCGATATGACACTGCTGTAATTACACGATTTTATCCTGCACTACGAAGCTTGTATGATGCGTGTTACGTAACACAATAGACTTTCGAAGGATGCACCCAAGTGTGGTGCCGGATGCGCGATCATTCTAACACGCGTCCTCGCGTTTATTGGTATTACAAATTTCGCGACATTTCGACAATTGATAAGGCTTACAAAAGTTCTTTTTCTTTTTTCTTTTTTTTTGCAGCGCGATCTTTCCTATTATGAATTTCAAAGAAAATAACAAGAGGAACTCTCTACGATTGTAGTACTAAACGATTTGACTATTTCGTAAGTAACGAAATTCATTTACATTCTGCTCACTTACAATTAGTATCTGTCCCGTGTGCATGCACAGTATGTTTGCGAGTATATTTATTCGCGTTTTCGATTTCTTCGAAGGAGTTAAAAGAGATGTGGACTTAGCAATAGCTTTTCGAAACATTCTCCTCTCGTTTATGAGGACGGAATGGTAGACAAGCCGTGTTTATTATCCTGAATCTATAATTATATTTGCAAATGCCTATAATAGAATAATAAAGGACATTAGTTTTTAAAGGATCAATTAATTCAATATGTAAATTTGACTTTAACATTGAATTTTTGCTATTCTTTATAAAGAATAATAAAATATATTTAAAAATAAAAAAAAATAAAGAAACATAGAAATGCGTGAACGCCTTCACTTGGTAGATGATATTATGCAATCTTGTGTTTTTTCTCGCGTGCTCACGGTTGGGATTCCTAAGACACGATCGCACGTGCTTAGTGATTGTAAACCTTTCGATTTATTTCGATCGAAAATTTTTTTTCCTATTTTTATTTTTTTTTTTATTGAAGTGATTTTTTAATTCTTTAGGATCAGGGTGATTTGAAAATTGTGAAACGGAAGAACGTGAAACCGATGAAACAAAAATAATTAATTAATTAATAAAATTCAATAAATAATTTAATTCTATATATTAATTAATTAATTAATTAATACAATTTTATATATAAAAATTCAGTGTCACAATATGTTTGTCCACTAATAATTCCAAAACTACTCAATTTATCTTAATGAAATTTATTTTATTTCACGTGATTTTTTTCACCTAGCACATAGCATAATTTTTATCGCGATTTTTTTTTTTTTACTAATTTAAAGATGTTTATTTAGAGATTATCTAGGTTCTGTAAGGTTCTTTCAATAGATGACACTGTATTACAATTCAATTATTTCGATATATTCACGTCTCGAAGCTTGGTTTTCTTTGAAGGTTTCACTTCTACAGTGTGTGATCTGCACACATCTGTTTTTTTTTTTTTATTTATATTCAATTTTATACAACGAACTAATATTAATGTAGGAAAAATATATTTCACATCCTAAAAGAAAATAGTTAAAGATTAGATTTTTTTTATCATTTTGCAAATATTCGTCATTACTCATTGACTAGGAAGGTATACAAATAAAGCTATATAAATCAATCCAATTCAACGGAAGTTTGACTAATACCAATTGTTTAACAATGTTAAAAACATTATTCAATGTTTTTCACTTTGACGTATGCCGCTTTTCTAAAAAGAAAAAAAAAAGGAAAAATAAAGAAGAGTTGACGTATAATTCGTATGATAAATGTGAGAAAATTGCGTTCTTAGTAATCAAGATATATATGTAGATATTTACATAAACATTGTTTCATTTTTGTTCGAAGAACAAAATAGAGGAAATTACATAGAGACAGAGTTTTTTAAACGAGTCAAAACGAGGCATATCTCGCCAAAATTCTCGACATCCTCTTTCATTATTTTTCTCTTCTTTTTTTCTTTTCTTTTCTTTTTTTTTCTCACAACCTGTCCTCTTCAAGGTTAAACGAACCATTGTATAAAAAGATTCTATTTAATATTATTAATATAAAGGAGAAATCGAAAAGTAATGTTAACATTATCATCGTCACCAAGCACCATGACATTTTATAATTACTCGTTTTATTGCGTATGTTCTTTAAAAAAAAAAAAAAAAAAAAAAAATTATAATTGTGGTCGTTAACTTCCCAAAATATGACTCGTCTCAAATATATATTTACAAAGAACTTAACGGATGGTAAATTACTTGAACGTCTGTGTGTGTGTATTTGTGAGGGATATTCCCCATTCATCTTCTCCAATTACGAATTTGCAGTGGTAGAACACCAAAAGAATTCTCTCACCCATTTTAAAGAACACAAACTGATGTGAGAAGGAAAAAGGACGATGCGGGCATGGAAAGCATCAATCTTTATTAATCGACTAGCATCTTCGTTATTATTTCAGTTGTTTTGAAAAAATGTGTCTTCTATTTCAAAATTTTTATCTATCTGTATACTACCTACGCAATTTTGTTCTTTTTATATTTTCGAAAGAAAAAAAATTAAAAATCGATTTGTAGTCCTCGCAACGATGGCTATCGCTATCATAAAATTGTAGCTCGTAAAATAACGCATGAATTTAATTTCAAAATCAAAAAGAAGGAAGGAAGGAAGGCGGGTCTTACAGGTTTTCGATACTTTTGCCTTTCTCACGATATGCTTCTCGTTAAAACTACGAGAAGAGTTTTGCGAAGGCGTTTGATATGGAGTCATGATGTTTGTAGGAATTAGGACGCCTACGTTTATGTCGGCAACCGTGCCGAAAAAGCACGATAAAAGCTTCCTTGCCAGATGGTCATCGCTTGCGCAAGTTCTCTCTTCCCCCCTTCCTCTTTTTTCCCCTCACCCCTTTCTATAACACAACTTTTACTAACTGGCAGTATAAGATTTAGGGTGAGAATCATAGCACATGCCGTTAAATAGTATAAGACATGTGACACTATGGAATAAGCCAAAAGAGTCTGTAGATGATATTTCGAAACTTTTTAGGCCTACTTTCTTTTCGGATTATATAAATTGTTTTCTTGATATCAACGAGATATAAATAATTGTACTGTTATTATTATTATTATGATTATTTGAAGCTTGCACTCTCTCTCTCTCTCTCTTTCTCTCTCTCTCTTTCTCTCTCTATGTATACTTATAACAGCGAACGAGTTTAGTCGTCGTTCCGAGAACTCCTCTTTAAAAGATCGACTCTCTTAAGCGATATCTCCCTATCCTTGTGTTTAATTTCACCGATATCGATATGATGAAACGTGCTTGCTCCAACGAAACAAACCCTTTTGCTAACGCATCGAAAAAAGCATTCGAATTTAATGAAATAAAATGCAACGTAAAGTTTAAATATCATTTAGAAATAATAAATTTTCTTTTTTTGTCTTTATGAAAGAGCTAAGAGAGCAGATTTATCTGTTCAATCGATTTTGAAAGAAGAAGGAACACGATAGAGTCGGAAGTGCGTGTATTCTTAGACGCCTACGCTCTTGTACGTACCGACTTGCGACGCACCTTGGCGCAAAATAAGCCAGCCAACCGGCCTTTATAATTTCTAAGTCAGCAACAGTCTGTGTACTCGTTTCAGATCTCTGTTAAGATGAAAACAATCCTTGATTCGCTAACAAATTTAAAAATCATTTATAGGAAACTCTTTCTCTCTCTCTCTCTCTGTACGGACGGATTTGTTGGTGGTCGGTCATTCGATACAATCGAAAGCTCCGTTTCGAAGGCTCTCGCCAAGGGATTACCCGAATACCGAAGCGTTCCGACCGTACGTCAAAATCAAACGATTTCTATTTATAAGTTTGACGGCGAGCAAAGCCAGCAATAGCTTCGATCGGACACCTGTTTGTTCCTTTGGATATATCTTTCAAAGCTTTTTTTTTCAAAATAACGTGCTGGATATTAATATTATATTAAAGACAAATTTTTTATCGCTGTAACTAAGAGAAGAAAAGAAAAGAAAAGAAAAGAAAAGAAAAGAAAAAAAAAACAGATTGTGTGGCGACTTGGGTGGGCGGACTAAAAGCTTGTCAATGGTTGTCAACAAATTTCTTTCAGAAAATTTTCTGTTGATACCTTTGAAGACAAATATTGGAGTCACGTTATCTCTAGGCGTGTCACGCGCAAACGTAAACATACATATACAACACATACACATAAACATATACATTGGCATGTCTCTATTTCAATCGACAAATCTTTTGCAAGTCTCTCGAAGAAAAATCATTTCGTAGGTCGCATCTTTGCTTTTCGAATGTCTCTTTGGTCTGTGCTTGTTGCTAAAGAGAAGGGAGAGAGGAAAGAGGAAAGAAGAGGCTTGTTTGAGAGGCTTCTTCTTCTTCTTCTTCTCTTTCTTTCTCTTTTCTCCTCGGTTCCTGTTTCTTTTTCTGCGAGTGTATCCATTTACGACGTTCGTCAGAAGTTTCTTCGGTTCCTTCGTGTATGCGTGCGAACGTTTCGTAAGAATTTTATATCGTTCCGTATTCGGAGCCTAATGCCCTTGCAACTCTCCTTCTCCTTCTTCGTCTTCTTCTCCTTCTTCTCCTTCACCCCGCTTCACCTTCACCACCTCCACTAGCACCTTCTTTTGCTCCTTCTCTGCCATTTACGGTTCCTCCTCCGCTCTTACTTCGACTTTTTATTTCTTTTATTCTTATTCTTATTTCTCGTGGGCCGTTCGAGTTAAAGAAATGAAAATAAAAAAAAAGACCGACTTCCTCGAGACGAACTCGTATTTGGGACCCCAGAAAGAGTCTCTTGTTAAAATACAACAAAGGCTTCTTCTCTGCTAGAGAGAGATTTACCTACTGACCTATATATCGTGTTTAGGTGTTCTACATGATGTGTATTTTACCTTAGTAATATGTTCCTTGGATCGATATTCAATACATGTATTTATACATTATATTTTTTCATTATCTTATTAAGCAAATTAAAGAAAGAACGTCTGATCGGAGAATCAATTAGTCGGGTGCTTACGATGACAACTAGAACGGACTCTTGACTTGAGCTCTCTTTGAAATTACCTAAACCGCAATCAAGGATGTCGCTCCATTATCAAATGTTTCTGGAATTCCCATACCGGAAGATGACTGAAATCATTTTTCCAGAATAATAAGCAACCATGTATAAAAATAGACCTTAATTTGCAATATGATTATTACGAAATTATCCTATAATAATTTAAAATAAAATTAATTATTTGTTGTTTCAGATTAAATGATAAAAATCTATCATGTACAACTTAAACGTGAACGTGAATCCTAGTCCAACGGCTGCCGCGGGTCTTCTCGGTGTCGCGGCGGCCGAGGTCACTCCGAGGACACCGGAAATCGTAAACTCTTTGATCGCCATGACCAATCCCTTCGAGGACTACGCCAACGAGAAAAGCAGGGATCGTACCGATTCGACTAGCAGCGGTGAACCGAGTCCACCAAGTGTCCAACACACTTGCAGTCAGCTTATCAAAGAAGGTTCCTTTATTTTATTATAAATCATATCAATCTATTTATCTCCATCAATTGGTATTACAGCTCAGAGTGGGGACTATTACTAGTAATTAATGTGTTCAGTTTCTTTTCCTGAATTGTTGATGATACTGTGTTATTATATTGGATTTGTGCGTTGACAGGCCTGAAGTTGACGCTACAAACTAAAAGACGAGCAAATGGAAGTGGTGACGAGGGGAAGAAGAGGACTAAAAGGGAGGATGGTAGCGCAGACGACGAGGAGGAGGACGACGGGAGCAACAACAACAACAACAACAACCGGGGTGGAGTAAGAACAAAAATCGCATACTGTTAGCTCGTTAAAACGATAAAAACAGTCGTGACTCTAAGTCGCTACCTCATCGATCATCATCAAAAGAGAGAAAGAGGAAATACGCGAAGCGCGAGATTTTGCTTGTCTCTATTAACTTTCGCCTATCTCAGTCTCCGTTAAACGTCTTACAGTTGACACCAGAGGACGAGGAGAGGCGACGGAGGAGACGAGAGAGGAACAAAATAGCAGCTACCAAATGTCGGCTGAAGAAACGAGAGAAGACGGTGATTCTGGTCCAAGAATCGGAGACCTTAGAAACACAAAATCACGACCTCAAATCACAGATCCAGGAGTTGGAGATGCAAAGGCGTAGGTTGGTCGATATGCTCAGTTTACATGGACCAACTTGTTTGAAACAAGGTGGTGCTACAGATACCTCTTATCAGCAATATGCCGAACCATTGCATCTACCGAGTTACCAGGACAACTTTGTTCAACCACCACCAGCCTTGAATCAACCTCAAAACTGTGTCACGGATTATCCTGTCAAAGTCGAGGAATACGAAGGTGATTTCTATCGGCAGGGAAGTCCTTACGTACCAACCACTGATTCTGGTTGCACCGTTTAGCTTTAACTTAATCTTTACGGTTTTTCTGAGAGATGATTATCAATGAATCTATTTGATCTTGATCAATAGTGGAAAGACTACAATATGCATTCCACACACACAAAGATAATTATAACGAAGAACGATGGTTAAACTTAGTTTTGGAATTTGTCTCAAAGGATTTCTGTTGGTCATATTTCTTTAACCCTTTTATGCATTTATTTAGTTGGATTATTTTTCAAAAAAAAAAAAAAAACATTTTATCGATTAGTTGAAATGATAGACAAATTTTATATAATGTTAACGTGTTATTATCGATGCATTTAAGGGTTAAAAGTAATTAAATCGAGCAGATTCTAATTAATCTTCTCTCAATTTCGTGACAAGTCCTTAGCTCGTAAGTTTATACATATTTTATTATCTGTGTAAAACGCGAACAATTTTTTGTCTTTCCTTCTTTTTCTAGCTTTACATTTTCCACTTCTCTTACACGTCTGTCTTCCCTTATTTACATTTCCTCTTTTCTTATTTTGTTCTCCTTTTTTTTTAACATGCTCGTAATGTTCGATAGAGAACGCTCGAAGACATTCCTTCGTAATAACCGTACTGTGACATTCTTGTTTATTGTAATTCGTATAATGAACAGATTCGCTTGTCGCAGATACTGCTGCATGCGTTTCTCAAACAATCGACAAATATTTCTCATTTAATTTCTGACAAAAAATATTGCTTAAGTATTTTTGTTGATATTGGCCTTTCAAAGGGGATACTTATAATTATTATAAATATTTTATTAATGACATTTAATATATTATACTTGCAGGCATACATACATGCACAGTTAATTATTGATGTATATTTTACCATACGATAGATTGTTATATTTGTTAACAAAATCAAAAATAAGTGCCTAACGATATACCTCAGTTGTGGGTAGTTACCCTCCCTTGGTACGTTTAACAAAAACGAATTTTTTCATTATTGAGATATATATATATGTATATATACTTACATACAGATTATTTGTATACACATCTTAAGTGTATATTTTTGCAAATATTTGGTAGTTCTGTTTGTACAATAAAAAACGTACCTTGGGTATATAAAAAAAAGAGTTCTTGCAATTAACGTAAGTTAATGAAATTGTTAGCGCAGAACTGTTACAATTAATAAGAAGTGTGCTTAAAATAGACGAATCAAATGCTTCTCTTTACTAGAATACTGCTGCCATACAATCAAAGTGATCTAAGTGATAAACAAAGTCTTCCTACGCTTCCTTTAATTGAAGCGAAGAGAAGATTTATTTTTTACGTTGTGTTATTATGTACGGAATTATTACGTATACAAAATTTTTATTATCTATAATTTAAGAATATATTTAAATATAAGCGAACCGAGACAGTCAGTCATACATATATGGTGCTTTAGATATGTTTTTTTTTTTTAAATATTACATTAAATTTTGTTAAGTTGCCTTGAAAGAGTATTTAATAATTTAATAGAAATGTTATAAGAGAGATTAATAGCCTCGCGTCTCATTGGTGTCTATTTCTATTTTTAATAAATCATTATTTTAATAATGATTAATATATAGGATTCAAAAAAAATTTATCTTTAAATTTATATTAAAAAATCAAAACAAACAAAAAATAAAATTATTTTTTGATTCCTCTATATGTAATTTTTTGGTCATCATTTTTTTCTCTTTTGTTGTGATTTTTTTGCTTTAATCAGCAAGTATTTCTTTATGTCTTTGAACGTATTTCGTAGATTCATAAGTATTTGTACATGCGAGTTATTTTAGTATCACTTTTGGCATCTGTTCTTGTAGTTAAATAAAAAAAAAAATGCATTACTGCCTTTATGAAATACATAAAAGTGTACATAAAATCGCTCGTTAAAACATGTGCATTGTTTTTGGAATATTGCCAATATTCGAAATTCAATTTGATCATTTTTAACAAATGCTAATGAAGTTCGTACAAATTTCTGCAAGAAAAAAAAGATATATAATCTTGAACAAATTTTTCATTATTGTATTAATCATTGTATGTTTCTAGGTTTCTTTTACTTCAATTTATACTAAAATCTTTTCAAACATGTTTTTTTTTTCTAATTGTAGCTCTTTCCTCGATCAATTCTTTCTTTTGTCGTAAATATAAATCGTGTAATAACCGCTAACCATAATACTAGCAAAATGGCTTAATAAATTTAATATTGTAAATCTAGAAAGGAAACATATTAATCTTCAAAATAAAAGTGCCTTGGATATTGGTGTTATAATTGTTTTTAAAAACCACCTATTTAAAACAAAAAATATATACATATATATTTATTATATTTCTTCCTATTTTATTATAAAATTCATTATATTACACATGTTTTTTTAATTATTTCATTTCTATAAATCATAATATTTATAACATAAACAAAAATTAGATATTATATAAATTAAAATTAAAATAAGAGCGGACCACAGTTAAACTTATAATATATCTTAACAATATTTTTGTATATAATATGGATTTACGAACCCCTGTAAACAATTATTAACTGTTTAGATTTAGAAAAATGGTGAAAAATTAATTAAGAAAATAAATTCAAAGAAAATACTTACACAATGATATTGTTGATAGGGATATGAATTAGTTTAACGAAAAATCCTATAAAACCCATTATACAAAATCCGATGGCAGTAGCGATTGCAATTTTTTGAAATTCTGTAAAAAAGAAACAAAGGATTTTTTTCTATGTTCTTATATTTAACAAAATATTACTTATACCTTTTCGATCTGGTTTTGTACATCTTTTTACAAGACGTATACTGTCTTTGGCGAACTGACGTCCTGGTTCTGTTAGTTTCTTAACCTGATCCATGATAGTGCAATTTCTATAAATTATAGAAAACATATAATATGTTAATACAATGCAACCATATAGAAATGTAAACTGTTTGACATTTAATTAATATATATTACGGTTTAAATGTTTATTACAATAAACAAAATACTTATACTTGACATATTTGAAAGTTCCAACCTAAACTGAATTTTGGATTTTTTTTATCAAATTAAACTATTCTAAATATTAAATTAATCTCCCTAATGCGTGTAGACATAAAATATGAAAGAAATTGCATGAAAGTTACATATGAATACCAAAGAAAACAAAACATATTCTAAATATATGCAATTTAACCTGTAATATAAATTTACTCGGAATAAGATACAATAATACAACGTTCTATCTTAATTAAAATAAATAATGAACATAGTATTTAATAGAAGATTTATTAAAAAATAAAATAGATATGTTTGAATACGAATACTTACGTTGCGTATCAATTGAGAACGTTTAACAAAGTGACGTATTTCAGTGTTGAGCAGTACGATCATAGGAATAATCATCAGCTACGTGGACGAACGTCGTATTACGTCACTTCCGATTTATGACGTTTCTTCGAGGCGCCATTACGGAGGAACATATTACTTTACCGCGCTAATTTGAATTCTTAACGTTTGCATAAAAAACTTTAAGAATATATTAAGTTACATTTTTGTTCTAAGACTTAATCGATAAGACATTAATTGCGTTAAAAAATCACTTTTTCCTAAAGTTTTCATAAAAAATTAACGAACGGTTGATCCATGTAATTCTTTATAACAGTTCTGTTCAACTTTTCTTAGTTGCGAGCCAAAGAAGGGTAGATAATCAAAATACCAATCAACATTACGTTAAAAATAAATGCATAAATGAATGTAAGAACGCCACAACATTATAGCGGCCGTTTTTATAAGTTTTATATATAAAATACGTTTTGATGTAGTGTTTATTTAAATTTTTATTAAAAAAGAAAAATTGATTTATTTCATGGACCACCAGCTGGACAACGTTTATATAGAGCATAGAAGAAATAATCTCGTTATCAGTTTTTGGTATTTCATTTGTATGAAGTCCAACGTTCATGTACATATTTACATGTGCATATAGATAGTATATCTTGATTTATAAGACGTCGATTTATTTTATTTTCCTGTATGCGCATGTACATAGAAATAAGATGATATTTGACTTCCTAGTATTTCTTCAAATCTAGAAAAAGAGATAAAAATTATATATAATTTTTGAAAGTAAACTCTGTATAAAGTACAGTTTTCCGTTGTCAGAGGCGAGGAGCAATAATCACAGTTTAATATCAGAAACGTCTTCTCTTCCGTTCCACCCCTACGTTATTTTTCGTCCCCACCCCTATTTCCCCTCTTAAACGCACCATCGCTGTATGTCTTTTCCAACGATCAGTGTTAATCAGCGCGGGAACGACGAAGAATCAACAGGATGACTCGTTCGATCTTCTTCTGCGTGTTTCTCGTTGTTTCGAGTATTCTTCAGCTTTGCTATGCCGTCGAATTCAAAGATTGTGGTAAGCATTTTTTCCATCTCTAAATACAATTTTTTTTTTATTTTTTTTTTTTTTTAAATAATTTATTCAGAAATATCATTTGAATTATTTTTTATCTCTTACGAAAGTTTTGTTTTGTTTCATGTTAATATTACCTACTTAATATCAATGAAATTTGATTTATTTATCGTCGACGTTACGAATCACGTTGTCTTTTTTTAAGCGGTAAAATTTGAACTAAAGGATTTCATTGAAATATTTGGGGATTATTTACAACGTTACAGTCTTTGTCTGTAAATTCAATTAGTTAATATTGTTACAAGGTCTTTGATCAGCTAAGAAACGACGAATTTAATTCATGACTCACATTATCGTTCATCGTAGAGTCAAAAGACACTTTCTTTTATTCGATATGCCATATCACATTTCACGAGATAACGTACATTCTTGATTAATCTATTTTCAAATTAATCATTTTAATAAATAAAAAATAAAGGGATTTTACAATTAGCGTTAAATTTTTCTTACAAAAAATATATCATTCTTTAAGATGACGAGCAAATGTTTAATAGTATTCAATTTGTTTGCTTTGTACTTGAGTCAAACTCTTACAAATACTACAACTATACGATGCGTTAACTAATTTAATTACGATAAGCATCTCATTAAACGTAGTAATCTATTGTTTTCTTCTTTTTTTTTGCCATTAAATGGATTAGCTAGTATTTTTTAAACATATTGTAATAAAACTAATGTAAGTTATAATTTATGTTATTTCTAAACAGTTACTATCTATACAGTTTATCATGTTTCTATTTCATTTCTAACAATAAGACATTTTTCAAATTTATTTTTGTTCGTCTCTTAAAATTTATACCTAAAATAATTGCTAGTTTTTTACTCTGTTATTAAATCGATGCCATTTTTTTTCTTTCTTTCTTTTTTTTTTTACGTAATCCTTCGTAACTATTCTCGTATAATTCATTCTATCTGCTTATTCGGTGTTATTGTATAATTTTCTGACAAATGTAGCATATTATTTATCTCGGACAACATTTTTAATAATTACAAATATCACTTCTCCATGCAATGATAGACTATGTATTTTAATAATTGTTTATATTATGATATTATTATTTCATTTCTTATTTAATCATTTTATAGGTTCTAAAATTGGACACTTTACAAAGATAACTATTTCTAATTGCGATACATCTAAAACAGCATGCGAATTAGTTCGAAATTCAAATGTGAGTCTTACTATAGACTTTATCCCATGTAAGTAAAATGACTTGTTTTTTATTTCTATATAGAATTATCGATAAATTAAATGATCATATATGTATTGATATAATTTTCTTTTTTTAGCTCAAGATATTTCCAAAATAGAAGCAGTGATTCATGGTGTAATTGCAGATGTGCCAATACCATTTCCTCTATCACATCCCGATGTTTGTACTAATCCTGAATCTAACATACAGTGTCCTTTGAAAAAGGATACTGAATATACTTATAAAGCTGTTTTACCAGTCGAAAATACCTATCCTAAGGTACGATATACAAATCATTATTCATCAAAAACAAAGAATCAAAATTTAATATTTCTTACACTTTTTATCATTATTTGCAGTTGTCTCTTAAAGTTCGATGGGAACTTCAAGATGAGAATAAACAGGATATAATTTGTGTTTCCATACCGGCAAAAATTAAATAGGAATCTCATAAATATGAATAAGATTATTTTTACTTATAATTATCTACTATTTTCAATGAATAATGAATGGGGTTCTTAACGATATTGATTTGTAATTGTAATAAGTATAAATGGTTTATAATGATTAAAATGATTACATAATTTTGAATTAATGTTTATTATGACTATATTTTTTCAATTTTATAACTTTGGTGTACAGAAATGTTATTCGATATATCATGAGAATTTGTCAACATTAATTAATTAACGAAAAAATTTCGTTTAAAAATGTTATTTATATTTGGCAATTATTTGCCATTAATGACAGTCGTCAAGATGTATTTAAAAGTTAAACAAAAGAAACGTGTTTCAACTAATGTTAACACTTATTTGACCGCTCGTTTTTAAGGCTGCCGTTCAGTTATTACCGGCTTCTTAGACGTGTGTGCATTTGTTTCTAGCAATAGAAAAGACAATTAATCGACTAGCTGTTGATGAACGTTTGCAATGAAAAGTCAGCCGATGAATCGGCTAGCGGTCAAAAAAGTGTTAAGTTGTTTTATTGATTTAAATCCAAAATATATTATAACCAGTACTTTAATTACCAATATATTTGGATTAAATGTTTTTGTAATAATCCATATTTCAGTAGTTATCTGAAATACGATAAAGTTTAATGTATTATTTACAATTCTTCTCTAATATATAAATTAAGTTTTTTTTGGGATAATTTTGGTATATGTTTACATGCTATCAACTGTCCATTGTATTCGTTCTATCTTCTACTCGTCCAATATTCATTTGATGAATCGTTCGTTTGCCTCGTTCTTTTATCGATTTTTGTTGGTTATTTCTCAATGTTCCTTGCGCTTTATATATAGGTTCGTATTCTTTTAATTGTGCCATGAATCCGCTGTTTGGATTTATACAGAATCTCTTTCGTTGTAATAGTGTAAACGCATAACTAAAATATCGACAAGAAATTTAAATGACAGATTATGATAGATACATATGTCAATAATGTTTCTTACGTTCGTGAAAGTCCATATGTTTCCATTAAATATGCTATAACTAATGCGGACGATCTTGATATTCCTGCATTACCATGAACTAAAACTTGACCACCAGAATTTATACCTTCGTCTATAAATTCTTTAACGTTTTTAAAATGTTGGATGATATTTTCCGATATAGTGTCAGCTATATTCAACACCAGATATCTACAATATGTAAATATTTCTTTATATGTTATTAATTACCTTAACAGTGTAATTAGGTATGTACTTAAATTTATCCGGAAAGTTTGGCCGTATAAAATGTGCTTCTATATCCTGTCTAACGCAGATTATATGAGTGATACCGTGTTCAAGCAGAGATTCTAATTTGGATCGACTTGCAGCACTGTATGGTCCGATATACAAACCAGGTATCACTTTCTAAAGTGATATAAAGACATATCATTAAGACATATCATTAAGAAATTTATTTCAATATCTGAAAATTTATCTCAAACACTTGCCATTTTTAATGAAAAATTATTTATATACCTGCATACATCTTCTCATAGTATAAGTCCATTCTTTTGGCCTATCCAGTAATAAATTAGGAATTATTGGATATTCTTCTGATGTATTTTCATTGCTTTCCTACAATATTTCAATAACTCATATAAAATTTATTTATGAAAGATTCATTAAAAATTATATACTTATAAATAATATAAATAATTATGTACTTATATATACTTTTAGAAGTAAATAAATAACATAACCTTAACAAAACAATTGGCAAAAAAAAAAATGATTTCATAACGAACAAACCTGATCTTGGTTTTTGTTGCTATCTACCGACATCATATCAATAATTTATTATTTACAAAAGTTTAAAAATATCAATTTACATAGAAAATGAAAGACATCGAAATTCTTTTTCCCTTTTCCCGCTAACGAAATATCACCTTTTGACGTTTGGACCGTTTGCCCGTTTTGTGCTACATAAACGTCATCTGTTGGTAAAATAGAAAACTCGAATGATCTCGATTTTTTAATATTTCGATATTTCTCGACTTTTAAATATTTTCGATATATTTATCGATTAATGAATACTCTTTCTCGTTTAAAATTTAAAAACATTGATTTACACTTCTATTTGTTTAAACAAAATATCTATATTAATATATGTTATCATATTAATGCATACATGTACATATTTATTGTGTGTAAATGCTTTTATATTTCATACGTTTATAAAGCATGCATACATATATATACATATATAATATGTATATATAAGCAGATAAAAAGAAACGATGAAAATATAATAATGAATGTAAGATAATTATTATAAAATATTATTTCGCGCTTACATATATTGTCATTCGAATTGTGATGGAGAGTATTAATAAATCATGCGTATTGGATGTCGAAAAAAAACTTAGGCGCGTTTCTAAACGTTACCGGATTCTACAACGTAAGACTTTCCTTAGTGAGATGTTATTAGAAATATTATGACTCCTTTCTAAAAATAATTACACTTCTGAAAAACTCATTGTTGTAGCACGATCGGCTATTCAGCCGTTCAATTTCGTAATACTTTGGCGGTTAGTTTCTGCAATTAATCAAATCAGTTGACTATTGTATTTCTTTTTTTACTCGTGGAATTCAGGAAGATATTTATAGTACTGATATATACAGATTTTCTTTAGCATAAGAATGTTCACAGGATTATTTTACAAATCATTGTATTACATTGACATGATTGATCGTTTGTTTGTTTAGATTATACTCTAACGAAAGGTTGCACTTCTATTCGAATTATTGATCGAATTAGAATAATATTGAAAATAAAAATATTCTAAGAATTGGTTTTGCGTAAGATTGCGTCGGATATCCTAAAAGAACTAGGAACGATGCAATTTAGTTACGAAGTCAGGCGAATGGTGTTCTTTACGAGACGGTACTAACGTTAGCGGCCAACCAATTTTCTTCCGGGTCTAAGCTAATACGTTCCTATCAATCGCGGCCGCTTTCGAGAAGAAAGTTTACGTGAACGCATTTGGTTTTGCAATGTATGAAATGAGAAACGTAAGTTTCGTTACTATTGGATCTAAAGAAATAAAAATCTTTTAGATCTCTACGAAATTTATTTTGGTTTCGTCCTCCAAAAAAACCAGAAAATAAAGCAGAAATAAAAAAGGACAGAAAGAAGAGTACAACCAAACCCTCCTGTTTCCACGAGCTCTTTACCGAATTTTATTTATTCATACAAATTGTTTGAATTCTTCTTTAAAGTTTATTTTTGAAACAATTCTATCTATCTTAGAAATAAAGAGAGACTAATCAATAATACTGTCCCTGGCAAGATAATTAGGTCTGCTTTTACGAGTGAATGGTACATGCTTACATGGTATGCATGCATGTACATATGTATATATGTATGGAAGCACATAGGTGGGTTATAGATGCATAAGATGCCTTCTTTCCATTTTTGTCATTCTCAAAGTCATTGCTCGCGGCTCTGGCACAATGAGATGAGATAATTTCTCGACCGTTTTCTTTTTTCCTTTTTATCTTTATCCATTCTTTTTCTTTTCATCAATTTACACAATTGTTTTTTTGTGGTTTCTAATAAATAAACATTTATGAAGTAATTATGTTTTATAATCGAAAAGATTCGTTGGCATTATTATCTTTGTTCATTGATATTATTTTTAAATTCTTACGAATGAAATGACTTTGAATTTTGGATGCATATTTAAAGATGTATTTTAAGACTAACTTCTGTATAACGTTAGTTATAATGAAAGGATAAAAAAGTATAATGTAGTATATATATAGAACGAAGGAGAAGGCGTGTGGCAGGCTGAAACGCACGCGAGCATGCTTCTGTTCACTTTCTAAGACGGTGCTTAGCTTGGTTCACAGATATGGGAATCCGCATAGCCTTCGGCATCTTGATTGTCGCAATCGCCATCCTTGGCTTACGAATCTGGAGCATTCTAGACTCGTGGTTGACATGCACAAATGTCTGTCGAAAAGTACAAACGAAACAAGAGAAAAATTGATTTTCTATTCAAGATTTCCGCCACCTCTTGTTCTTTACTTGATCCCTCTCGATACTTCTTGATCCTTCTTGATCCTTTGATTCTAATCAATTAGTTCGAATCGATACGTTCTAGATAACGATTCTGCACGTTTCTCATGACACTAAAAAATCCAACATTTTAGATACTTACATTGACGGTTATTTTCTTTATCTCTTTTTTTTTCTTTTCTTGTAAAACATTCGAGTCACAAGCTATACGACCCTTTCGAAAATGTCCACTCGTTCTCGAACGACGAGGAACGCGGTCACGAGGAGGGTAAAAAAAAATTGCATTCTACCGGTTCTTCGATTACTTTTCTTCCGTTCTATAGTCGATGAATTACATTATCGTTTACTATATCTTGATTTTAGAATTATGGTTTCGGAATAGGTTTCATGCTATTTCAAATTACCAAAGCTTGATAAAAACTTATCAAAAACGTTAGTTCCATATTTATTTCGTAAAAAAAGTGGATTATTGTAGGTGTTCTTACGTAAGGGAAGCATGATTCATCCTTTTCTAGAAGCAAAAAGGAATATTTTATATTTGTATAAGAAAATGTATTTATGTATCTACTGTACATGTGTACAATACTTACTTACCTTAGGTATATGTATGTATCTTTCGTTACGCGTTAAATTTTAACGAAACACATTATCGGTTAGTTAGTCGGTACTTTTTTTTGTATTGTCTACGTAGCCGTAGGGAGAAACGATCGACCTCAATTCTCAATCACCCCTACTTGTATGCTGCAGGCAGTTAGAAATCGTTACGAGTAGTTATGTGTATTTGCATTTAACTAGGATTACAAAATAACGAGACAAAATGATTTTTCAATTTTGATTAACCCTTTTTATTTTTATTTTTATTTCTTCCCCCCTCCCCCAGATAATATAACAATCTATTCGGCGAACATCGAAATGTTTTCGAGAAATGGCGCGAAATATATTTTTTGCTCGGTCATTTTTATTGATATATTGTACATAACTCATAACGTAGAAAAGTTAGGTTAGGTTAGCGTATAATAACAAGGCACGCCCGGTCCGTTGTCTAACGTCCATCTCTGATACGAAGCAGAACCGAGGCGTTACAAAATAATGGGAATCGTTAAACTTTCCAGGTTTTGCAACGATTCCTACGAGCAAAGCCGCATTAACATCCGCAACACGGGGTAGCTCTAACCTAGCTCTCTAACTCTCTGCTTCGAGAACTGAAACGTAACGTGCGCTGTGCCATTATTGCGTAAAATCTCTCTCGAGTGGTGACTGGTAAGAGACTCGGTCCTTGGTAGGTAATTGCTAATCACTCGAAAAAGAAAAAGAAAAAAAAAGGGAACAAAATACAAATACTTTTACTACGTTTGCCTCCGATATCCACGTTTTTTTTTATGTTCTTCGATCACCAATTCTCCTTTTATTTATTTTCAATCAAAGAGATTCCTCTTGACGTTCTTACAAAATGGCCGAAACTTTCATTCGTTTGTCCTCTAGCAAAGAACAACGTTATTTTCCCCATAGGGACCATCTTCTTTTATTATAATGCAATCGTTTCGTTTTCCAATAACGTTCGAAAGATTAAGCAATCGGCGATCACTTGGATTTCCATGTAAAGGGCGGTACAACTTCTACAAATGGTAAACTTCTTTAGTTGAAGAAGTCGAGAAGTCGAACCGTTTTTAGCTTCAACTAAAGGTGCCAAGGTGTTAACTTTTTTGTTGATTTCTTCGTCAACCTTCGATCTAGCGAGAAGATTCACAATCGACAATTCAACCTAGAAAGGTTTAATGAACAAAATGATGGATTTTAAATTAATTAAATTCAAAGCATAATTCTTTAAAACAACATCAAATAGATGAAGCAATTTTCTAGGTACGTTGTTCAAATTGTTTTCAACTTTGAAATGAATATCATGTGAGAATAGAAATTATCTTTTAATTTCACATACGATATTCTTGAATATGTTGAAAAGTTTCTCTCGTTTGTATGATCTATGGAACTAAACACCACTGGACTCTGAAGATCGTGACTCTTTTTATCCCTAAACTGAAATTATTGTCCAATTAGTTGTTAATTTATGCCATTAGATTAGCTGATACTGTATTTCTTCTAGACATTTACACGGAGTTTGCATTTGGTGTCGAATTTCTAAAAGCGAGATGTACTCGTAGTACTTATTAGTATTGGAGAGTTCTCTCGTTTGTCGACGTAACTCACTTACGAAATCGCAATAAGTCGTAAAACTATGTACGATTTAATAATAAACGTTTAATCATAGTTAACAAAGTAAAGAAAAATAAAGCGATCAAGATAAGAGATATGTTAAATTAAATGATAATAATACGCTACGTGTGAGACATTAAATATATGATAGATATTTTAATGTTAATGATTTATATTAATTATCTACGCATAAATTTTCACGATCGATAGAAACCAATTTATCCAGATATTTCTCATACGTTAGATAAAAACGGTGAAATCGTAAACCGCAATCATTCGTGTACATCGTTCTATATCAATGATTCCAATTACTAATTTAATTTATCTATTTTCTTAGCTAAAACGATGGTACATTAATAAATTCATATAATTATATTTTAAACTTTGATAAAAAGAATATATATATTTTTATTACGAATCTAGTTCAATGTTGTATGATATAAATCGTCAGAAAAAGTTTTATATTCAAGCAGAATTATCTGAAATAATGTAAATTTGTCCTCCCATCTTTAGAATTACTTAAAATGATGAATTAATTAAATTTGTATGAATATAAAAAAAGGGTTAAGATAGAATACCGGAAGTGACGGTTCAACGATAGTTTCATGAGTATCGAACTCGGGCACCGAATAAGGGGTCCGAAAGGGTCGAACGCTATTGGTGAAAGGGGTCCGTATGTACTGCAATCGTCCTACCCCCGCCTCTTCTTAGGTACCCAGGGGCCTGGGCAGGGCATTGCTATAAAAGCATACTGCGTTGCCCCTCGGAAACGTAGTATTTTCCCGTGTACCGCACAAGAAAAACCGTCCACCACCATGAAACTGCTCGTAAGTTGATTTAACAAGTTTCTCTATGTATAATATTATTATTATTATTATTATTATTATTATTTCTTTTCAAATGTTATTACGTAATATGTTGTTATAATATATGCTTGAAATAATTTTCAATTACTTGCAATATATTTTTGTATCTATTATATTTATTTATTAATCCTAACAAGAGTATTATTAATTATACTTTCAATATTGAAAATTACAGATCGTTCTTTCCGCCGTAGTGGTAGCTGTTAGTGCTTACCCCGGACATCCATGGGCCGCACCGGTAAGTTGCATCAATTTACAAATTATACGTCATAACTTTGTAATCATCTAAAGGATCGTTGCATGACGATGAAATTACAATCGTAAATAAGACACATAACGATTGTTAAGGTAATTCGATGTTGACTTTCGATTTTGTATCGTCGATCGAACTACGAATCCACTTTACTTATTACGAATTCAAAAATGATCTAATCACGATTACATTGATCTACATGAGAATGATGAATATTCTCTTGGTTACCCGAAAACTGGACAGGTTCGGGCTGAAATAACATTGATAATAAATCTCTCTTATGTGGCTAACGATTCTTCGTATGGAAAATAATCCTCATCGTCGTTAATGAAAAAAACAACATTTTCTTCTCGATAGTGCTAACAATTGTTTATCTCACATTCTCTTTATCTATCTGTCTGTTTGTCCGTCTATCTGTCTGTCTGTCTATCTGTCTGTCTATCTGTCTGTCTTTTATCCTCTCATGGAAATGATCGTAAAATGAACGATCGTGGAAATGAACGTACTTCAACATGTTAACCGAGTGATACTAGACGTACTCGGCCAAGTAACAGGTACTCGGTTGAGGTAAAATCGTCGAAAGGGACGAGAGAGATAGTTCGTTGAAAGAAGTTTCTGAAATACCTCAGGTCGTCTCACAACCTTGGCCAGATCCATGGCAAGCTTCAGCATGGCCAGCGCCTGCGCCTGCGCCAAAGTACATCAAGGTCGCCGTACCAGTTGCACAGGTACATGCACAGGTAATCATAGATAATCCTATCTAACAATGAATCATACTTGTGTTGAAAGAGAAAAGGGTTTCGAGAATGATATGAAATCTTATTCTCACAGTCTCTGTTCTCGATCTTTCTCGATCAGGGATCGGGGATCTAATTGGTGTCGTAGGTCAGGTATAACAATCCGACGTGGTTAAGAAATCTCTACTTGGACACCGTAATTATACTGATTAATTGGATATTATTCTAACGAGGATATATATGCACAATCGCGCTTGTCTTAAATGAAAGACGAAAGGGAGAGATGCCGAAATATTGGGGACGCTCATACGTCTGCTATATTCATCTTATCTACTAATAAAAAGAAAGATATATAATACCATAAGATATTAATAGAAATATTTATTTATTTAGGTCCATGCTCCAGCCGTTCACCACGTGATCAACGTACCTCAACCGGCACCTGTTCCTCCAGTTCATCCTCAGCCCCTAAACATCAAGGTACCCCATACTCAATCGGTTAGAATACCATACCAAGGAGTGCACGTACCGTCACCACATTTGGTTGGAGTTGAACATTATGTTCCGGAACCCGAGGTCAAGGTTGTAGCTAAACCGGTGGCTCATCACCCCTGGTAGACGAAGATCTTTCGAAGCATCCTACCTACGAATCAGCTGGTCCAAGGTGGCCCAGACAGGCTCGACCCTTTCGAGGGAATCTTAAATAATATCTACCATCGGAAGACAAGATCAATTCTTCTTCTACTTTCAATCTCGAAACAGTATTATAATCGTCTGAAGAATATCCCGAGGATCATAACTGGACAAGGTTTGGATCATGAAGGATAAAACGACACCCTCAGGATCGAGCTTAGTTTTTGGACCACCCAAGGACCAAGACCAGGCAATCATGCTTAAAAAAATGTCCACTCTCGCATAACATACACGCATTAGACACATCTATACAAACATATTAAAAAAAAAAAAAAACATTTGATCGACACTTATACGTACATACCACTATCAACAGGCGCAGTAACCTTCCAAATCTACGAATTTTCCTTAAATTTCATTTCGAGAGAAGTCCATTCTCTCCGGTCCCTAGTTTTTCTTTTTCTTTTGAAAACTTTCTTTATCAGTATCACGAAATTTTTGCGCGGCATGTGATATTGAAAAAGACGTCACAATTACATTGGATAACGTCATTGTATATTTTTCTCTAGCCCTGTTTTCCACATCACCTCCCCCAAAAAACCCCCTGAAATTCCCAAAGTTTCCCGACACCCACCGTTCTTCTTATCTCCCTAATTTCATTTTTTTTTCTCTGCAGCAACACTTTTATTTATTTTCTAATAAAAGTTAATTTTTATGTCTTGTGATAAAACGAGTCGATTTTCTTCATCCTTTTTATCTTTGCCTTTATAGATAGATTAGAAAATTGGATTGGGTTGATGTTATTTCTCGCACGTCACAAATGTCTATATTTTATTATATTTTATTATTTCATTTGTCTTGTTTTATAATCGATTCAACGAAATGGATTAAGAGATGTATCAGATAACAGATTTCTCTTCCTTTTTTTTTTTGTATTTTCATGTGTAATGTTACAACGAATAAATATGTGTATCGGTGTTCATGCGTGTGTGTGTTAGAAGAGCGGTTAACCCGAACGATACAAATCAATTTAACGTTTCCATGACTCCGCATTGTCCAAACAGAGTGAGAGACGTTAAACTCTACGTTAGCAGAACGTTTCTACGAGAAACTTATTGTGTTCGTTGATCGAGAAATTAAAAAATCGAACGAAGGAGCCTTTTTTTTTGAAAACATGGTTAGAAATGCAATAAAAAGTAGAATCAACTTGGTTAGAAGGAAGTCACACGTGATTGTTAGAAATTTTCTAACAACTTGATTTGCAACAAGGAAGGACTCTCCAACTACCGTGCGAAACATATTACGCAACGAGAAAGCTTCAGTAGCGATTTTAATCCGTTGGTTATTCGAAATATCATGCGAACTTATGTTAACATAATCGTAATGGAAGAGAAACGATCATCGCATAACGATTCTAACGTCCCTCTCCGATCAGTTTTCCATCGAAGTTTCACTTGGTCGATGTATACGAAGCGTAAAATATTAAAGACTTTCGTAATCATCAATTGCCCTAACTTGATCGTAACAATGCATTTATTATAATTTGTTCCAAGTCGTTGCCGGAACGTTGTTAAAAAAAATTCTTTGATAATTCTTCAATACTTTCGAGTTAATTTTAATTGTATTGTACAAAAAAATTTCAAAACTAATTCTGAACAAACTACATATGGGAAATAAATTAAATTGATTGGAAAAAAAAAATTAGCATTCCCTTAGGGGATTCTGTCAATGAAGGGAAAGGGCAGTATTGTTAGGAAAAAAGGTTATACACGATCGTAATTATCCACAATACCTACATGTTCGTATAATACCATTTCTTAATCGAGTAAGTAAAGGGTAGAAAAAACTATAACAACAAATTCCTGTGAAACGGGAGAACGGGCTCGTAAAGAGGTTTGGTGAAATCGCCTCTGTGAGAAATAAAAAAAGAAACATTGAAAAATTCCCTTGGAAAGTTATCTCTCAACGCATTGCTTATTTAATTTTTTATTTATTTTTTTTTCTATAAGATTATTAAAAATGTTTAAGAATAAATATTATTTCTTCTATACTGTATATCTATTCGTTTATTATTATTATTTTTTTTTTTATTGGCTTTTTTATGAGTCAAAGATTTTTGTTAAGAAATTTTAAGAAAAAGGAAATTATGATACCGATCAATAACATAATCAATGATAATATCCAATTAATCATTAGATCTATCGTGTGTAGTTTCTTGTTTGAAAGATGTTTTTTTCGCAACGCCAAATTAGGAACTAGAGCACCGTATACATAGTTTCTAAACTACATAACTAAACTCAAACAATCTAATTGCTTACGTTTCACGAATCATTTTCATTTTCTTTTTTTTTCTAACAACAATAATAATTTTTTCCTAATATAAATACGTTTTTTTTTTTATTTCCAATTATAATCAGTGAGTTTCCTGCGATTACTTAATCTATTGATATGCGATTATTATTTCCTCTAATTACTTAGTATGAATTCATTTTAATGCATAAGTACTTTCACCTAGAATAATATGTTTTCTATTTAACTTCCTCTTTCATTTCATTCTAATTATCCATTTGGAAAAACTCAAAACTCATATATTATTAGTATGACCTGATATATATCAAATGAAACGATTTATTAAAAGCTTTTGTCTATATATATATATATATTACTTATATGATGTTTCAACTATAGAAACGATTATGATGAATTTTAAAAGTTGACTCTAGTATATAAGAAATAATATAACATAGGGAACTTAATTTCATTAAATATTCCAATAAAACTCGTCAGTGAAATGATATTGACGCTTATACAAAACTATATGTTAGTGAGACTTTGCATATTTCATTGCAAATTGGATAAAGTTTGTACATAAATGATAAACCATACTTTCATTCTCAAAGCGAATCATTGATACTTAAATATTAGTTGCATTAAATATTTCTATTTCTTATTATTTAAAAAAAAACAAAAAACTTCATTTATCTATATACTCTTGTATATTTTTCTTTTATATATTTCTAATAGGATACTAAGCATAGTTCGTAGTATAGAAACATAAATACAACTTTTTTTATCGGTTATGCTAGAAATAACAACCAATGAGCTTACTACATTTATAGTACAATTGCATGTTACCGAATTAAGCTCACTGACGTTTTTTTTTCCTTTTTTCTAATAACTATCTGATCATCGCAAATACGTTCAAACCTTGAAAACTTTTAATATACATATTTTAACTACTAGAATATCGATCTCTTAACTTTGATAAATATATATATGTATAAAGACATATATCTATTTAAGGACCCATATATAACTGGAAATGCAAATAATACCAATATCGATTTATAACAATTACATATTTATATCTCCAAAGGAGTCATTCAAGTTTCCTTATTAATTTACGAATATCGTATAATTTAATAATAAATATCGATTATATATTGATTTACATTTTTATCCTGACGTGGTAAAGAAATCTTATTTTCATTCATATAATTGGTTATCAATATTTCATTCTGAGAATGAACATTTGTTACGACATTATATCCACTTTGGACTCGTATAAACAATCGTCTAAGTTTATATCTTCAACTCTCAACTCGTTTAGAAATTTAAACTTTTTTTTTTTCTTGTAAAACATTGTTTTTTTTTTCAAGCATGGTCAACATTCAATTATCTTAGAAAAAAAAAAAATATATGAATTGTGCAACAATGACAAAATTAGACACGATTTAAAAGTCACATGTTTTTCTTCCAAATATTTCATGGAAAAACAAAACAAATAGAAGAAAGTTGTTCATTGGACGAGAACCACTGGTTGTCGAGGAAAATGTGAACGCATGGACAGCAGAGTGTCCCTCGAGGTTGTTCAGTGTCGTCAGTTCGATCCGGTCAGTGGGCCATTCAGCATGAACAACGAGCGCAGTGAGTATATATGTATATATACATATATATATATATATAACTATGTATCTATATATACTTTTTATTCCAGGGGTGCTATGTACTTCCTTGTTACGATGACCTATTATTAAATCCTATGAGAATTTATAAAAAAAAAAGTATCTCGAGTTATATTCACTCTCTCTCTCTCTCTCTCTCTCTCTCTCTCTCTTATTCTTATCTATCTATTCATAAAAGATCATTTTCTATGAATCAAAATGATCATTAATGTCATCTCTCTCTCTCTCTTCTTGTAGACATTCCTAATAGTTTCTCGTTAACATTTTGATTATTTTCCAACATCCAATTTGAATTATGTGTAGTCTTATAAAATCGTAAACTAGAGTTTGCGTGTCTAAAGTGATTTAAGAAAATTTTATTGGTAATTCTTTGACTTTTATTTAGATGAATAAAATCTATCGAATTTTATTAATGAAATGTTGTTTTCATTTGTTCGTAGAAGAAAATGATACTTCGTCTGTATATTCGATTGGTAGCCAGAGGAATTTGGTTTCCGTCAAATCCAAAAAAACTTTGTAAGAAAATATTGAAATTAATCTCTTATTATTTGTAATTATTTATTTTTGTTTTTAAATTCATTGACTTATCTCTAAAATTATGTTTTACGCGTTTTAATTTTATGAAAATAGTATTATAAACATTTGAAAGAAAATTTATAAAATTAAATATACTATTATTGGATAGTTTATTTGATCAGAATTTTAATACTTTTTGTAGTTTGAAGAAACGTAGCCAAATATCCAGTCTTTTGATGATAGTTCTATTCATTTTGATGGCTTCCTTATTCGTTGCAGTATTGGTACTTTCTATACTTTGTAAGTAATCTTTCATTATAATTCAGGATAAATGTTAGATTGTGAAAAGAATTTTTCTCATTGATATTTGCAATCTCATGCTATCATTTTTAATGTCAAATAATAATTGGTAATCAGGATTACATAGGAAGCAATTTTGATCGGGTGGTTGTTTGTTTGTTTCAGACTCTAGGATTAAACCCGATATGAAACTATGTGATTCTGAAGATTGCGTGAGGATAGGTAAGTATGATTTACATGAACGATATGATTACGTATACGATTTATGCAAGGTGATAAGATTAACATGTATTTTCTAATGGGTACAATTAGAATAAATGTGATACAGTAATAAAAAAAAAAAGAAACATTGATAATGATTTACAACATTATTTTGTTCGATAAGCTGCTAGTCTTAAGGAATCTATGGATCCATCTGTAGATCCTTGTGATGATTTTTATAAGTGAGTATTGTTTCTATAAAATTGTCAAAAATGAACAAATATGTTGCAAAGATAATTTACCCACGATGCATGGCACCTTAATGACCGCAACTATTTCTACTTATACGTATTCGAATAAAAATTGTATAAAATGTTAACATATGTCGTATTTTCTGAATTTTTTTTTTTTTATAAATTCGTAGATATACTTGCGGCAGATGGCCTCGAGAACATCCGATACCGGATTCTAGTTTAACAAATTCTTGGTTCAACGAACGAACCGATCGAGTAGCTAGGAAAATTAGAGATTTATTAAGAACAAATA